GATTTCATCTAACTGCCCTGCATCTTCTCTCACTAGAGGAGATACTTTTTCTGAGCAGTTAAACATCTTTTCCATATAGGACCAAAAGGGATTGTGGGGAGCAGCCCTGATAAGAATAGTCCTCCTGGGTCATAAAGGCAAGGAGTCGCTCCAGCTGCTTAATGCCCAGTTGTCCGATGTCGGCAAAAACGTTTGCCAAATTAAACAGGTGTTTCCATCTGTAAGGGGGCACTCTTGGGACCTGAAAAAATATAGTGCTGTCTTATATATGCAAATGTAAAAAGTTATGTCTGAAAATAGATGGTCCGGTTATTTTTACAGCAATGCAGGGCCATCCTTCTAGCACACTGCACCTCTTGTAACTGGGGGAAGAACAGACTATCTTTCAGCAATGAATGGGTACTCTGGTGACAGGGCCTCTGCTCAGTAAAGTCCCACTGAATTCAAAACCCACTGGTGTCTCAGTCCTGCAGCTGGTTAGTGCTGCCCTCACTCAAATAAATATCATTACTACTACTTTAAGCCCACAATCAGTGTCCTGGGAAAGCCTGTAAGAGCTAGAAGGAAAAACTCTAGACTGGTAGACACTGGTCCTGAGTTTCCTTCCCTCCTTTCCAAAGCAGCAGTGCCAGGAGGTGCTGGTATTGCTCAGGCGTATTTATCGACACTTGATACCTGCTTTAGAAGGGTAACTCTTGCAATAGCACAGCGTGTGTCTCTTTTGCCGTCCCCATGCTATCCTGTTAGAGTGCTGCCCAGACCACTAACATACTAACTGTATTAGTTCACCCACTCTTGCCATCTGTGTGTCATACTGCACTGGCATTAAGGTTATTGAGAAAATCTAATGCTTTTTACCTCTTCCACCTATGAAAAGCACTGACAGCATGTATGGATCTGCTAAAGATGTGCCTACCTACATGTAGGAAAGACTCAAGACAATTTGAAAGGTGTGTGATTCCTTGTGAAGCTAAGTATCACAGCTATTTTGAGGCGTGGTGTTTCACTTTGCTTGACATTTGTCTCTTTCTTTTGGAACCAGGTCACCTGGTGAGAGCAAACATTTCTTGGCAGGACGCTCATGACAGGAGTTTCATTACACACAAAGGCCAATGACCGTGTAACATTTTTGGAAAATGTTGTCCAGGACAATCCGTCATGGAGCAGTCTTCTGGATTTGTTTTGGCTGTCATCTTTCTACTACTACTACAAACACAAGTACTTCACTTAGTTCCAGCTAAAAATTAGTGCAAATTTTTAAGATCACTTACCTATTATACAATATTTTACAAATTACAAACTAAGACATATTCTAAGCCCTAAACTGTTTTCGACAGGGTCATAATGGATGCATTTTAGTCTGTAAGCTTAGCTAGAATCTGAGTGGCCTTTTCTTGATTAAATTAATCTTGCTTCTGGAGCCTACATTTCTCTGAACTTCATTGCATGAGATTTATGCTGCAGGCAGAAAAACTGTAGAATTAATTTAAAGCTGGAGAGCTACAGAAAAATGACATGTATGTCTCCCTGATCAGGTAATTCAACAACATTAAGACATCACTGGAACTCTAGACCTTCAGTCAAGTACACAGCATAACATTTTAATGGGCTTATAAAGACTGTACTTGGGTAAAAAACAACATACAGGAGAACTATGAATATACAGGAACTTACAGAAGAACTATGAATATTTAGGAAAATAAGTATTGTGCATTATAGAGACATGCAAAGAGCTAATGGAGTGTTTAGTTTTTTAAACGCATTTAAATGAAAGCATGATATGTAGATGAATAAAATTCAAGCTATGCAGTTTCTTGATGGGCATTCCCTATATGAAAATCACCAAATGAGCTTGAGGAGAAGTTATGGAGGAGTTTTGAGAACTGAAGCATGAAAACATTGAATGGAAGCATGAAAAAAGTTGCTTTGTCATCCCATCGCAGCGGAGATCCAGCAATGGATCTGTGGCAACAGCAGCTGGGCAGAACCTGTGGAAAGGGAAGAATGGGGGAAAGCCAGAAGAAGAAACATAGCAGCTAGTGGGGGAAGGTCCAAGGCTCAGGGAGAGAGTGTGCCAAGCATGAGCTCTGAGAGCCAAAGCTCTGCCTACACTGAATTACCCTGCTTATCAGAGAGGGCCTGATTTTACCAAGTTACTATAAACAGGGTTAATGGAGTCTGATTTTAAAAGTGACCACCATCAACAGATTCCCTGAATACCACATACATTATGGCATACTACTGTATTCAGGACAACCCCTAAAGTCCATTATACAACAACATTTTCTGCAGTAAACTGATTTTGTTAATTTTTTATCATTTAAAGCGAAACCTTTCATGGAAGCCTCAATCCACATTTCCCTTTGCAATAACTTAGTCATTTCTAAGAATACTACTTCTGTTCCTGGAAAACAAATAGGATCTCTACTGTGATCTCTACAGGATCTCTGTGATCTCTACTGTGTGGCAGAACCTGAAATCTTGGTAAAATAATGTTTTTTACATTAAGAATATATATTTTTTCATCCCATTTAAATTAATTATTTAGCTAGATTGAGCAAGTTAACAGCAGGGAAAGGATCATGCTTAGCTGACACATGCTAAACAGAGATTTGCAGAGACTGAAACTAAAATTCTTTCATGTTACATCTGTGCCAGGTATGCTTTACCAAAAGGACAGCAACCTATATTCCAGCCTCTTTCCCCATTCCAAGCAGCAGAAAGGCAAGCCTCTCTTTAGAATTATCAGTCCTGATAAAGATTTTAACAGATATTGATGTAATGCCACAAGAATTTCTTAACTCCCTTAGTTTTGACGTCTCTGTCACTTGTGGAGTAAGGGAGCACAGTGCAGAGATGTCTAAGCTAGAAACCACAATAGCTCAGGAGTAGGTGCAAGCAGTTGAATCAGTACAGCCCTGTGCCCAGTGGACATTGTGTTCCTGTAGCCACCTGAATACTAAACATTTAGGCTGAGATACTGTATCTGAGATGTTGTATTTTGGACATGATCCCGAGTAACGTGCCTAAGGGACCCTGCTTGAGCAGTGATGTTGGACTAGATGACTTCCAGTGGTCCCTTCCAATCTTAGTCACCCTATGACTGTGTATTCACTCCGAGAATGTAACAAGTTACCTAGACACCAGACATAATTAGTGAAGAGTAAAGCAAAAGGTGACTCCTTTCATGCTATGATACATGCCTAAAACATAGGAGCAGTCACTTTCTGGAGGTATCTGTTTCTACTTCTGACTACAGAGCTATGTAGAAGAATATCTTAGATGAGACTCCTAGCTTGTAGACAGCTGCATTTAGGTGGGATAAAGTCTATCCAAAATGTAAGGCTATTAGCTTGGGCATAGTGCCTAATTAATTGGCTGTACTCCTTTCCTGAGTTAATGCCAGGCTTAGATTTGTGCCAGACTAAGTATCTCATTCCTGGATGCCACTATTCAGAGCAAAGATACCCTTAAAGAAACTAAGGAATTCCATTATATGCAAATAAAGAAAGCTTTTCATTATCAGCTGTTTAAAAAGCATGAAATAATAGGTTATCAGTGCTGGTTTACTTTGGTCCCATCATGTCTTTATAAAGTTTTTAGTCTTACAGTGACATGTAAACAAGTCATGCACGGACTGGAGCTGACATAAAGAGGAATCAAGATGGGTGTAAACTGAAATTTGTAAAGCTACACAAAATGATAAAGATTAGCAAAACATCAAAGAGACTAGCATTAAGTGAGCACTAGGTAATACCAGTGAACTGAACATAGGTAGTCTCCTGTAGAAAAATGTCTATGTAATTGTGTATTTGAGTACTGTGACAGATCAGGAAGTTTTTAAGAAAAGACAAAATACTAAAGTACCAAAACTGTTTGTGAGGCAGGATGAGGTCCTAGTTCAATAACAATTGTTGAAGGAGGGGAAAAAAAACCCCAAGAAGAATTCTCACCAAAATAAAGCCTTTAAATACTTTAGAAACAGATAGGTTTAGGATTTTTTTCCATTTTTTAGAATGGAAATTACCTTTTTTACCATTCAATATTTTTCTTTAGAAAACCATAGAATGCAAACAGATCAAACAAACAAACAAACAAACAAAAGAGATCTGTGAAACAAAAGTGAAATATTTCAATTAAAAAAACCTTCCTTTTCTGCAGATTCAGATTACATTGTTTATTAAGATTTTAATTTTCTAAATATTTAGTTAGCCAGGAATTACTGCAGGATGTGAAGAGATTGTTGTTCTGGCCCAGTCAGGACATTCACTTCCATATTTAGGTGATTTTAAGTCACAGTTGCGTGGGTAACTTCAAATTTAGCACCACCGATTTTTTTAATTCCTGCCTTCACAACCTGAATAATGTTCTTACATAACTGGGCTTTGTCGTGTCCCATATCTTAAGTGTGCCTTCCCTAACATCATCTAGTTTGCTCATTCACAGTGTGCAGAGCACAGGGAAGACCTGACTCCATCACAATTTGGGCTTGGATAAAGGCTGCTGTACTTGGGAGACTAAATTATGCCTCACTTTCAGGAGACTACTGAATCAGTACTCCTACAATAAGTGTCTAACAGCTATGTTTACCAGATATAGAGGATGTAGATGCCTTTGAAATTTAAACAGATTTCCACACAGAAGCCTTCTAAGGCTCTCCTGGCTGTACAAGGAACTTAAGCACTTATTTTAGTGGACACAGGGCTGTGAAGTATCAGAAATTTAGATGCAAGTTGGATGTCTCTGTGAGTCAGGATCAGTTGCAACCTCATTTAGGCCTTTTTGCTTGGTAATCTTACACATGCTTTATCTAATGCATTGTACCTAGTGGCACCTAATGAATTCTTACAAGTACATTATGATCAAGGTAAATCTTTGCTGTTTCCATTTTACAGGCAGAGACTTTGAGACAATGACAAATGCAATGAAAAGCACTGCTGAATCCCACTTTGCTCACAGGAGACAGGCCACAAGAACAGCAGGTGCTGGCCCAGACTCACCTTCGAAAGCTTGGTTGATGACTCCATTTGATGCCTCTTTGACTTCAAGGTAATGGGTGAAGGACAGTGGAGAGTCTCTCATCTCTTGTAGTTTGTCATGAATATAAGAGAAAGTAGGTCTGTTGCGAGGTTCTTGGGACCAGCATCTTGTCATTAGATCACATCTGAAAAAGAAAAATTTACAATGCAAACATTAACAGTAATAAAATCATCCATCTCAACACTTACCATTAAACATCTGAGAAGCAAGTTTAGTGTGAAAACTTTCTATGTGGTACAAAGATTATCATCAGCTGCTGAGGAAAGGAAAAACAAATTAAAGACCAGGTGTCAGGAATACTCACCATGAAACCTTTTTATTTTTCAAAGATGGATATTTTTGAGATTGGGAACAGCTATAGCATAAAAACAACAAACAAACAAACAACAACAAAGCACAAAAAAACCCACTACCACTGAAAACCATATTTTCCATTAACATCTACTCTCACTGAAGAAACCAGAAATATTTTCTAAGGAAGCAGAAAAGTAGGAAATTCTCTCACAAAAAAAAAAAAAAAAAAAAAAAAAAAAGCGCCCAGAAATAAACCTGAAGTTTTCAACTTATTTAATCCTCCTTCAACTCATCCTACCTCAAATTTAGGGGAAGTTCAAGGCAAACCCTCCAGCACAGAGAGAGTTAATTTAGATTTCTACCTCCAGACCAAAACAAAGTGGAGTAAGTTTTCCCATCAAAGGCAAAAATGGTATGAATTTCCTCCGGGTGCAGGGATTCTAGCCCACCTTGTACAACACTATCTTTACCATTCAGTGGAAAACTTTACCTCCTGTTTGTATAAAGGATAGGGCTGGGTTTGATTCCTTAGTCAAGGTGAGTTTATGCTACACAAAACCAAATCCTACAAAAGCCAGTGGGAGACAGGCTGAAAACCAAAACACAGCCAGCACCTGGACGTGCTAAGTGTTGGGAGTGGAAAGAGGTCTTAGAGTCTCAAAACCGGAGAGCAGCCAGTGAAAGGCCTGTTCAGAAAGCTGCTCATGGAATGTGGAGCATTTACCTCTAAGCCCTAAGTTCAAACCCTTGCCTGACAAACACCCTCCCAGACCTGCTGCTATGTGATACCAGGCATTACTGTTATGTGAAATGAATTGGCTTGCTCATATCCTTGCTTATCCATCTTAAAAAGATGACTGATGTCCTTCACCACAACTGGGTACTTTACAAAACCCTTAGTGACAGCTGGGAAAAATCTCTTGACTTCTGATTTTTCAATTATATTTTTCATTAAAAAATTAGTGTTGGATGAGAATGTGAGTAGGAAAACCGTTTCAGAACCACTTTTCATTGACCTGTATCCTGTGGTTTCCAAGTCGAACAGAGGGATTCTGTTTTTTGAAAATGATCCCATGAAATTTTGAAAATCCATTTTAAGAATCTGAAAAATGGTAGTGACTTCATAACACTCTGAATTACTTCATCTGCTTACTTTCAGGTGTACTGGTTATTGATGACACTGGAAATATGGAAGGAAAAGTACTGAATAGGACTCAAAATGAGGTTAAATAACTGGTTGTCCTTCTGCTGTCAACAAAGTGTCTGTCACACTAAATTCCAGCCTTGGATGCTGGAAACCAAACAATCTGCTTTCTGGATGTGCTTATTGGTAGGATATCTAAGCAAAATACATGAGTTCAAGTGCTGTGCTCCACCAGGTTAGCACTTGGGCTCTCATGAGCAGAGCCTTGTGGAAAGTGTAGCAATGAAGTAAAAGAGCTGATGGAATACACTGCTCCTTCAAATGAAAGGAAGAAACAGCCAGCCATAAGCCAACAGAATAAGAAAAAACAGGAAATGATACATAAGTCATAGACTTATAGAATGTTTTGGGTTAGAAGGGACCTTCAAGGATGATCTAGTCCAATCTGCCAGCTGTGTGTAGGGACATCTTCCACTAGACCAGACTGTTCAAGTCCCATCCAATCTGGCCTTGAGCAGCTCCAGGGATGGTATGGTATATCCACAACTTCTCTGGGCAACTTGTTTCAGTCTTTCACCACCCTTATCATTAACAAATTACTCCTTATATACAATCTAAATCTTTTCACTTATGAAACAAGGACATCACGAGTGTGGATTCTGAATTTTTTTTATTCCTATGACCAATCATTGTCTTTAATGTTTTATTGGACAATCTTCTTTATAAAGCAGTTCAGTTTTGCTATGGAGTGGGGACATTAATTGTTGCTGAAACATTCAGTACTGTAATTTTCTCTTTTTAATTATATTCCATATTTTTATTTCCTAAATTAAATGACTTGTTAGTTGTCTTAAAATATCAATACCATATAGAACTGGTATTTTTCACCAAGTATTTAATTCAGGGAGGCCTTAGGTTTCTAATGACAAAAACTTTCATACTGCCTCAAAATATATCTGCAAATTTTGCATGTGCAGCTATTTGTGGCATGATATTTAGCTTTCAAGTCATGCTGTGATACCGAAAATTTTAAGTCATACAACATAAACTTTCACTAGCTCAGAAATGCATCAGCACGAGGTCATTCAAGAGGGTGAAAGCCAGGTTAATATGCCAAGTTGCCTATAAATAATAACTTTTACCCTGGGCATATTCCTGTATATTTGGGGATCCAAACATATGTTGGCAAACAGTGCACCATTTACCATAAGAAAGAGACTCAGAGGACTCCCCTACTTTATAGGGAAAGCCTTTCAGGAAAAAGCGAAAAATAACAGTTCCAAACACAGCCTCAGCTAAAGGTTTATGTTAGGTTTAAGAACTAGCCTTTCAACTATGTGTAAACCTACACACCTACACTTCACACCTGTGTTTTATTTGGGTGCAACAACTGACAACCGTATGTCCAACAGAGCTGCATACATGGGGCAAATTAAATTTCAAGGGCCTGGAAAACTAAGAACTAATACTCAGTATCCAATACTGGAAGCTGAAAGTGAAAAATTCCTGAAATTTGCTACAGAGCACGGAAGCTACAGGGCAGCATTACCAATTTTTTCTCACATGAAATGGAAAATATAATTTTCTTAGAAAAATTTGTTGTGATGAAGAAGAGTGCCTGATTTCATCTGGTGCATTCTGATCAAGGCCTTCTTCTCTCTCATTCTCTTAGTCCCTCCAGGGGCCATTCCCAGAGAAAAATAGCAAAAAGCTTTTAGTTACCAAACTAAAATTTCTTCATCAAAGTCAGTTGCAGAAATTTGCATGGGACTGAGCATTTGGTGAAATTGCAACTTCAGGTCAGCAAGTGGTATGGTGCTTGTACAAATTCTCTTGACTGTAATCCACAGACTTTGAGGATCTATGTTAGCTCAGATAAATCCAAACCTTGGTATTCTCTTGCATGCAAGCCTCACACTCAAATGACTGTGCCAGATGTGGATCTGACTGCAAATGTAGTGCCATTCATAGATCTAATTTATATTTCAATAAACAGGTGTCATTTATAAGTCCCCAAGCCCCTTTTTCCAATTCATTACCAAGCTTTATCTATCCACACTTCTTTGGGGAAAAGTTGATGATTAGTCCCTGGAGCAAAATCTTGTGGAGGCAAGGGGGAGAATTTCTTGCCCTGCCAAAAAAACCCAAAACAAAACAATCCCACTTCCTTAGTGCTTTTTCACCCCAAGGTTTCTCTGCCAGCCCTACTTGCACTTACAGTGTAAGCCTACCACAGATTCCTAAACACTTCTCAGCTGAAGTACTTTGGCCTTTGAACTCTCTTCCTATCAGTGATGGTTTGTTTTGTCAAATGACAATGAGCAAGCCAAAGTGCCGAGGAGACAATTACTGACGGCTGGTGTCCTGATGAAGGTTCAAAACCTCAAGGAGGGAAACAGGAATGTCAAGAATCCAGGCATGCCATTAATGACCTAGGAAAGCCGCAAAAAGCTATTTATGCTACTGACAGAAGCTTCATGCAGGTGCTGAGTGTTCACCAAATGAGATAAAAGATGGTACAAGAGTCTAAGCTCATCAGCTCCTTGGCTTTCCTACTATTAGGCACTGATCCTACAAGTTACAACAGGCAGACCAGTGTTTAAGCCCTATCTGCTATGCTAAGTTCAAGATCTGGGACCTTAAAAATTACTTCAAGCTAAGTTTTCTTGATTTTTCTGAAGATCTGATCACTTGTTTTAAGGCAATTTATGAGCCTTTGCTTAAGTTTGAATGTCAGACTAGTACATGGATATAGCTGTCTCCTATGCTTTTTTATTCACAGGGCAGCTGTCAGAAATTTATTGAGGAAACCTTTTTCAGCAGAAGATATTGAAAATAAAATGGCTTTGGGCTCTCATTTGTTCTGTGACTTCCAGTTTTCCCTCTGTTCTTAAAATCCTAATCTCTTCAGTTCTCCAGTTTCTCCAAGTGCTAAAGCTTGGAAGGTTTTGGTTTTATTTGGTTTGGTTTGGTGTTTTTGTTGTTTTGGGTTGGGTTGGGTTTTATTAATTGCTACTATGGTGTTTCAGCTATATCTGCATAATTATAAATAATAATCTTTTTTGAACTCAGAGAATGGTAATTGGCTGTAAAATCTATCACAGAAATACTGATTTTCCAGTCACAGAATTATTCTCAAGCCTTTTCCTCAGCCCCAAGAGTAAGAATTGTTCACTGTCAGTAGCCTCTCCTATTTGTAGGACCAGCTATCACATGCATTGTCGTGAGTGCTTATGCAGAATGGATGATAAACAAATTGAGACGTGAAATTAGACAATATTGAGTGATAGTTGAGTTCATGTTCAGCTTCCTCCTTTACACACTTCTCATCAGTATGGGTTTGATCCACTAGACATATTTATTTTATTCTTTTAATTGCAAGAATTTTGCAATTAAACCTGAGATTTGTGCTCAAGACACAAACAGAAATTCAAGGCTTTATTTACCCAGCCCAGCTAAAGACTAACCAGAATTATAGACTTCCCTTTTCCTGTACTACTTTGGCTTTTCTTATTGGTTTTTGCAAGAATTCTATCTATAAAGAGAACAGAGTTTATTTTTCACATATGTTCTCATATTAGCCTAATTCCTGCAGCTACCATAGAGAAAGCCAGTTATATCCACTATTACTAGACCAGTAAATTCTTTCTTAAAGACATCTTAACTTTTAACCAATACCACCGGGTATTGGTTCCAATTCCAGCCTGTTCTCAAATTACTACAGATTCATGCCCAGGACTGACTTTATATTGTCCCTGGAACTCTGTTTAAAAGACCGATATCCACCATTCAACTTCAATACTTATGTTCTTATTCACAGGCTGCACTACTGGATGAATTAACAGCAGGTTGGCAGCGAGCAGTGCTAGCTGTTTTATTGGAAACAAAAAGGAACGATGTTCAGCTCTGTGTGGGTATGAATGGCAACAAGCCTCCTGTTTCTTATAGATGTTGTCAACAACATTTAAACAAAATTAACTTACAGGTCATCAGGACAATTGTTTGGAGATTCCAGCCTTCCTCCTGATCGTACATGGTGTAAAACTTCTGTATTGGACAAACCTGGATATGGCTGTTGACCCAAAGTTAATGTTTCCCACACTAGTATTCCAAAAGCCCTAAAAAACACCACCAAGAAAAAAAAAGAAAAAGAAAAAGAAAAGAAAAATTAATAGCCAGTCCTCATGAATAATCTCCTTATTAACAGCTAAAATGTGTCTAACCTAAGAATAAGACTCAGTTAGAAAAATTAAGTAAGAAGTCTTAATTTATTGTTGTCCCTATGCCAGTCTCTGGAACAGCTAAAATAGATGTGCAGAACTGACACACATTCTCAGACTGAGATGCAGCTCAGAAGGCAGTGAGTATACACATCTTCCCTGGGCAACACTCCCTGACTGAGCATGTCCTCACTTAAACAAGTGTTTAGAAATCTCTAGAGGAGATGTTTTAAGTGGAGAGAGACAAGTTCTCCTAAACACCACTCATGGAGCAATCAGCACCTCATTTGGTTTGGCACAGAGCACTAAACGACTTGCTTAGATAAGTGCAAGAGTGACAGTCAAATGGATTGGTGCAGGGGCTGAGGACTTGGACAAGACTGGTGGATATAACCCACCATGAGTATCTATGGCCACGAAATCTAAATTTGTGTGAATCTCAGGTTTTGTGGATCTGGTTTTGTTTGAGGGGTTTTTCATGTCTCCTGGCAGTGGGTCTCTGCTTCTTCACCACGCACTCAAAGCCATTGAAATATACACTTTAGGTAAACCTCCACAGCCAAGTACTTTGACTTTCCCCTGATGACACTGAGAAAGTTGATCTTCAAAATAAAGAAGTCACTTGAAGAGGGTGAAATGGTAAGGGGGAAGTATTTGGCTGTAGGAGTGAAGTGACAATAGAACTAATGGAAAACGAAAACCAAAATGGAACAGTATGCAGGCAGTCAATTGTACTAGAGCTCAAAGCATAAAGAAATATGCTCATAATATATATAATATATTTGTGGTGCCAAACTTTTCATTAGCCCATTAAAATATCACTTAGGAGGAAATCTGTCTTAGCCTAAAAATTATTAGAGGTGGCAATATACAGCCTTTTAATTCCTCCTATAAACCAATATTTTCCTGTTGTGGGATTTAGTATGATTATTCCCACAGCTGTGTAGCTGCTGTAACTCACCAGACATCAGAATGATTTGTAAAGACACCATCAATAAGGCTTTCAGGAGCCATCCATCTGACAGGGAGCAGGCCTTCTCCTCTTTTCCTGTAATAATCATTTTTGTAGACATCTCTGGCAAGTCCAAAATCACCAATCTTTACTATCCGGGAGGAGCTCTCATATTCCTTCTCTGACACAAGGCAGTTGCGAGCAGCCAGGTCCCTGATTTGTAAGGCAGAAAACAGAGGGTGGAATTTGCATTGCAGAATAACGCAGGTCTGTAAGCCATCTGGTTCAACCCTCTCTTCAGAGCCGTGCCAACCTCAAGGTTGGATCATGGGACTTAAGACCTGACTTAGTTCAGTTTGGCATGTCTTCAAGACTGGAGATGACACAACCCCTCTGGACAATCTGTTTCAGTGGTTGACCCTGCGTAGTGAACAATATTATCTAATATCCTTTGCTGTAAGTTGTACCTGTTGCTTCTCATCTTTTCCCTGTACTTCTGTGAGAAAAGTCTGTGTCCTTTAAAGCTACCTATTAGGCAGATGAGGACAGCAAATTGGATCTCTCCACTTGCCCTTCTCTCTGTTGCACAGGGTATGATTCTTGCCAAGGGTTCAATAAGTCCTGGATTCAGATCTTAGAGTAGCACATCATTTTGTGAAAGAACTGCAGGCGATATTTAGCAGAGAAGCATAATATTAGATTTTACTCCAGTGCTCTCCCCTTTTCTGTTACATTGTGACGTCTTTCTAGGCATTTTTTGCCAGGTAAGATAATTAGTCCTGACATTGTGGGTAAACCTGTGAAGGCTAAGAACATAAGTTCTGTACCTGTGTATAAAATGCATTTTCTCTAAATAGACACAGCCTTTGCAAACGTCCAAACATATATCCAAGAGATCAGTCACTGTCAGTAAAGGGTTCTGGAGCTAGAAGAAAGAAAGACAGAGGTTAATCATGCCTTCCAGCTTTACCAACTCAGAATGACAACCTCCCTATGCAAAGATGATATTGTTTCCTCATTTTAAATGTGTAGGATTTTTCCAAGAGAGTCAAAGCACAGGTGCAAAATCTCTGTATGTCAATAGAGTGAATATTAATTAGGAGTAGGGTAAACTGCCAAATCACTACACAGTAAGGAAGGTGAACACATCCTGTTCTTTGATTTGGGGCTAAAAATATCCTCGGACCTTCAGAGCTGTGGAAGAAATGGGACTCTGAAAATTTCCTCCCACTATCAGATCAGGTTTCCTTGTTGCTGTATTAATCAGTGTGGCATATTTCTAGTAGAATACCTGTATATACATTTCAGTATAGTTCAGTACTGACTGTGGATTTGATCAGATCACAGTAAATGAACTGTACAATTGCTATCATGATATAAAATTTCATTGTCGAGTCATTTTGACCTACAATCATAGAATCCATCCACATTCTTAATCTGCATGCTAACTATGAAGAAATTTACTTCAAGTTGTTTGTTCTTTAGTCTTGTCTCCACTTTCCTTCTGAAGAATTTGAGGATACAGGGATAGTATCTTCTTATATGTCTTGACCATGCCTCACACCCTAATGATACTGCTGTTATTCAAAGACAAAAAAAACCTCTACAATGCCTAGTAGACCACATACATGGCCACCATTATTTATGATCACTTTCCAAAGGACTGGTTATGATTCTGACAGAGAGAAATTCAGCAGACATCTCATGACTGAAACCACGATTTTGGTCAGTAATCTAATGGCATTCAATCTTCTTCACAGCATCACTGAATGCAAGGTCAGCACTCAACATTAAAGTCTCAGGGTGTTAGGGAAATACCAAGTCAGACTTTGCAGGTACAGAAACAGCTGAACATCAGCGTGGATTTTGAGAAAAGGAAAAACTGAGAAACTGTCAGTAGTTACAGGTTAAACATATAAGTCTCACAGTCCTTACCTTTTGTTTTCTGGCTCCTCGTAAATAGTTAAGTAGATCCCCTCCTTCCATCAGCTCCAGTATAAGATACTGAGGTTCATTTAACAGGCACACACCAAGTAACTTCAGAATGTGGGGATGATCAAATTTACTAAAGAGAAAGAAACAACTGTAAGACTATATATGAGAAATCCATCTGGTTAATAGCTAACAAAGTGTATATAGCTGTAAGTAATGAAGGAACAGTTTGGCCTTTACAATCCTGCCTCTACAAACAATATGATTCAGTAACTCACAGTGCCTGGATTTGCTCAGTCATGGGGAGAATTCAGGGACATCCCTTCAAAACACAGTCTTACACTGTCTTTGACATGCACTCTAATACATGCACACATATTAAAAAGCACACTTCATTTTATTTCCAGGAAGCAAAGAAAGGTAGCCAAATGACATTTTCTTCTAGGAATAACATGATTTGCCACCTGTACATTGAAAGTATCCATATTATTGTAATAGATTACTTTTACTTATATATTCACAGTAGAACTGTTGATTCAGAAAAATGCACAGAGAAAGGTAAAAGCACAAGGTGTAATATATTATTTTCACAATTCAGAGGGGAACTGTTTTCCACAGTACATTTTCAAGAGAAACAAAATACACATGACAAATACTTGTAGGTATGCAAGTAATTGTCTGTGTGTATCTAAAAAGATAGAGATTACCACAGACGAATTGGCACTCTCAGACCTAGCACTTTTTAAAGAATGAAGAAAGAATATTTTTGCCTCTGTCAGTGCCTGTGTTTTTGCAATCACATCTCTTCTTTTAGAAAATGGTTTTCCTACTCACCACTGTGTGAAAGCAATTGCACCAGTAGTCAGAGAAACTTGACTCTACTAGGAGAAATGATGGTGTCCAAAGTGCCATCAAATGTGCAAGTGTAAACAAATAAAATAGAGGTACGTTTTCCTTCTAACCTCTTTCAATTCACACAATCTCAGGTGTAGGCAAAACTTTAGCAAAAAGTGCGATTTGGAATTTGACAGTTCCGCCTGGTCCCTAGCACATAGCTTTCCATCAGAGAAACTTTGGTCCTTTCAGGAACAAAAAGAGGGGAAGGAGCACCTGACATTTTCCCTACAACCAACACAGACCTTTCTCCACTGAGCTGTCATTCCTTACTTTCCAAGTGATGGGATACAGACAAGGATTTCCTATACATATTTGTACACGACTCACCAATTACTGATAACAAATTACTTTTTTGTAATAGAAACAACTCAATTTCCCCACAGCTGTGTAGCAATAATAGTAGTAATAAATAGTCCTATATCCAGCTTAACTGGGCCAGTATGCATAACATTACAATCCAAATTGTAACAAACTTCCAAAAAGGTAAGCAAAACAAAAGTTGCACTTATAAATCTGACATCAAGGTTTGTAAACAATCAAGTCCACTTATTTTTCCTTTCTAAGCTTGATTTCATTTATGAGACCTTACAGATGAACATAAAGAAAAATCAAGTCCTCCATGTTGTGAACTAAGTTATTTTTTCATATTAAAAAACTAAATAATAAAAAATATTTTTTATTGTTATTGTTTAATGACTACTAGGAATACACAATAGACTTTTCTATTCTCTTAATTTCTCTGACTCATTTTATTGGTGTACTTACTTTTATTGGTGTATATTAAGGTTTGCATTTAAATGCAATAATTTTCACTTATATATTCTTCCAGGATTTCTGGGTTTGGATTATTATGTGCAACGAGAAAGCAGAATTGGGGAAGTTTCAGAGACTTTTAACTATGGGTCCATATAATTTCCACACTACACAGAAGAGACCTTAACTGGGTATTTGACTTCTAGATAGACTGAAGACAGAGTATAAGACATTTACACACGACTGCTACTGTTTAGAATTAATTTTTGCTTTAATGACAGGGTTACATTTTGGTTTTCAAAAGCCACTTACCTCATTCAGGTACAGTGTGTAGAAAAAGTTAGGCAAAAAATGTAAGATTTTTTTTTAAATGTAACTAAAAATAGAATGCTGTGAAAATCAATTTCAAATTTAATAACACAGTGTTTCTGTGCATGATATAAGATCCTGCATTATTTTAAAAATGCATCTAATTCTGCATTCATGAAATAAAAGTCAAAGAAGAGCAGAGGTGTGTCTGAAAATTAAACCACACTCTTAGTCCAGTGTTACCATCTGAAAACTTCAGTTGAACTTCTACTTATTTCCGTGGAGACTCTGGAAAACCAGATTTCCAGCTGAAACACAAACCTTTCGATGTGAAATTCTTGAATTGGTGTCAGATGCATTACATCTACCTCAACAGAAAAGGTATGTGGCAGCCTCTAGTGGTAAATATGAACACTTTTTAGAAACAATTTCCACAGTAAGTTAAAACTTCAAGGCATCAGCTGATTCTGATGTGTTTTAGTAAACAGATCAGCTGATCTGTTTTGGTAAAATGGGATTAGCCAAATGTTGTCGAATTGCCTTTAGCAACTAACTTAGTCTTAGATGAGCATGGATACCAAAATACACCAGTCCAAACCCAAATAAATTCATAATATGAGCATAGTGAACTTGCAATATATATTTTAAATTTTGCTAATCTGTTTTAGAGCTTTAGTTTCATTAAGATTCATCAGTAGTGATTTACTTTGTTAGCAGAAACAGGAGAACACCCTAAAAGTGCCACAATACTTTGTTTAGAGGAAAGTGATGTTTTCATTCCTCTGGAAGGCCACCATCTTCACATGATGCTGGCTTTGAAGGGTGCCCAGAGGCAGAGCTGTCCCTACCTCATTAAGTATGCCTCCTTCAAGAATTCGCTCTTCTCATGGTCTGTCGCACCCTTCTTCAAAGTCTGCTGAAGAGAAAGTAAAAGTGTAGTAACACTTTGGTCATCACCAACATCATCACATAGCACTTAAGTAAAGCAATCAGACATAGACATGGCCTTAAATATACCTTATTTTCCAAAAATCATTACAAGGAGATGGGCACAGCTTTAAGTGCCTTGCAAGAAATGCTGCAACGAAGTACGCAGATTTGTCGACACCCGTGGCTCAGGTAAAACCTCTAAGACAAATCTGTTTGCCCATCCCATTCCATTGCCAGAGAAATACACAGCTACGATTACCTTGACTGCTACTTTGGATTCCCCGCTTCCATCTGCCAGGATATCTACTGCTGTCCCTTCATACACTTCTCCAAATGCTCCACTTCCTAACAATTTGTGCAAGTTCAGTTTGTCCCGAGGGAAAGCTGGCAATGATTCAACCTCTGCCTGAGAAGGAAGAGTACTACAAAACAGCAACACTAATCACTTGTTCATACCTAAGAATGTTTGACATTTTATTAAAATTCTTCCTCAGATGAAGCTGGTACTATTTGTATCATCAGGTACATTTAAGAGAAGCTTAGTTGAGGCCTGGATGATTTGGAAGCTGTTGGAAAACACCAGAACTTTGTCCTTCCTCATGCACTTGCTTTTCTGGCCAGGGTGAGCATGATGAGTGGGCTAGGGGCAATCCAGGCCAGGCTCCACGCCAGGTAGACCACATGTCAGGGGTGCCCTTCAGAGCAGACCTGCCCTGCAGCACATATGCAGCCCTTAACTCTACCTTAAGGTGTCAGGAATGAGTGCCCTGAGGAAAAGTGGTACAGGGAAGCCCTTTTACATGTTTTCGTCCTGAAAATACATGGTTTTGCCCTGAGGACATACCGTATAGCATAACAGGCATTGGCTATTCCCACTGCCTCAGACATCCCTCTGAGTTGAGCTAGTTCTTTATCTTCCTTGATAAACACTATCTGTCTGGGCAAGGCCTGTTTTGTGGGTTTCCATCTTTGGTGCCATACTGGAACAGAAAAGGAGACAATGAGGTATTTCACACTGAGAGCATCCCAATGTGCAAACAGGTTGAAAGGCTACAGACTTTTTATTATTCAGTTCAACATGGCCCCCAAGCAGCTCATGTATGCAAGTCATTTCCAACCAGCCATCCGGCCAACTTTTTCCCACAAAACACATATTCAGCTCATTGTGCTGAGAAACCAGTCAAGCATCCATTTCTGTATGTGGCAGGATACAAGCCCAAAGGGTGGCTGCTGCATCCTAGGGAAAGGAAGAGGAGTGAGAGGACAGGACCATCATATGTGGACATGCACACTTCAGGGTAATCATTACATCCCTTCTTCAGAAACAAAGCTTAAGAAAAAGATCAGATCTTGGGTGAAGAAATGCAGTTCCAAACTTGAGAATTGTAAATACAAGTTTTTATAAGGATACACATGAACATCAAAGCTTCTTCAGCATTCCTATGCTCTCTCTGCAGGTAATCAACAGCAAGAAAGGCCTGAGGATGGAGTGAATTTGCATCCTGTCCTCGATAGTGAAAATATAAACAGTTATCTTTAGGGCCTCGGAGAATGAGAATATGAAAATTCCTTCCAGCTCCCATCCTAGGAATAGCTCAGCATTTCCTTAAACCTGGAGGACAGTCATCTCTCAACACCTGGACTGCCTTCTACTGAAGTCTGGCAAACCAAACATATGCAAAAATTAAGCCACATACCAAAAACGAATAGCAAGACCACAGCCGAAATCAGAAGAACTCCAGTCACAGAAGCAATGACAGCAATGGTGCCCACGGTGCCCATGCCTTCTGTTAAATAGAAGGGGAAAATTTGTTAATGATTGTGTATACAAACAGGATCAATCCTATGGAGGTGACCTGAGAGAACCCTTGAGCAGCCTGCTGTGTAAATGTAATAATAATAATAAATATAATGGCCAGTCTACACGAGTGAAGATCCGGGGAAGGTCTTTACACCTTCCAGCCTGCGCATTGGATTTTTTTTTTAGGTGAGACACAGTGTGCGCGGAACTGAGCCCACCCTTTAATCCTAAGCTTCATCTGCCAGGGCCAAGCGAGCTTGGACAGTGGCACTGAGGTCCTTAGGACGTAGGTGGGTTGCCTTTAAGGGCTAACGAGCCCCACCTGCCCGGGAGTGGCCCTGATGGGGAATCGAACCCGGGTCTCGGCGGTGATAGCGCCGGGCCTTTACCACTAGACCACCAGGGGCTCCTGTGTAAATGTATTCCTCTGCACAAAGCTCTCTTGTAGACTGTATGTGGATGTCTGCATTTGGTCAGACTAATCCTTCTTCCCCAGATCTGGGCCATTCCTGTGGTGATGACCTGCAGTGCATGCAGAAAGAGAAAATACTGAACTGTTTAACCACTCAAGATGAGATTTCCAAAGGCACCCACAGAGTGTAGGTCTAACATTCTGGCCGAAGGAAAAAAGTAATACTCACACCTTTGCCCAGTGTGGGAGCTTGCCTTTTTTCAAGAATCATATCATAAAGCAGTGTCAGGGCCACAGAAGCAAACTGGTATAAATGAGCAGAAGCACATTTCAGGCCCACTGTTCTGTGCAGAAGAGCCTGCATGAGCACTAACAGCTGGGGTCCATCATATAAACGTCATCATTTATTACCTACTAGACACATTACTTTACCTTTGCAGCAACATCGTGGTTAAAATAGCAAGTCTCTGTTCATAAATTAGTATGATTACTTAGAACTAAAAATAAATAAATAAATAAAAATTAACAGAGTACTAAAGTATGAGACATACCTTTACCAAGAATTATATTCATGCTTGTGTCACTGTATTCTCCAACTCCCAGTGCATTTGCAGCTGCTGCTCTGAACTGGAAAGTTCCTTCTAAGTTCTTGGCCTTCCATGTGCAAATACTGCCACAGGAGCCATTGTAAACCACCTCCCACAAGGACTTCATTTTGCTGATGTTGCCAGACTGCTTCCTGAAACATGCACAGCACAACAACAAAGATATGTCATTAATGCCACGAGGGCAGTTTACTGCTCCCCCACCCCACCCTGTTTTTCACTTCAGTTCCATGGTTTTCACAACATCCCTCTGCCTGCATAAAAACTCAGCCTGGTTGTGGGATTGTGGCTACAGAGCAAAAAATTGTGCCATGCCATTTCAGCAATGCTAAGAATCACATCTTTGTCTTGGCATTGGAAATGAAATACTAGAACATTCTGGAAATAAAAAGCTGTAGTACACTTTCACCTGTTCCGGTGTATGCCTCACATCCACAGTTTCAAAACTTTCTTATTTAGCTTTCAGAGAAAAGTAACTATTTTTTTCTACCCTGTTAAAGTTTTTGATCCCCCAGGCCCAGAGTAATTCAGTGGCTCTTGTGCATCAGGTTTCACAAGCTAAATAGGAAGCAAGTAATTGGCAGTGAAGACACAATTCTTTAGCTAGCCACTTTCCCATAGTATCTGCTGACTGGTGGGTGTATTTCTTCCTTTCCCCACTGGACTGAGATGGATTGCTCATAGTAAATTCAGAGCTGATTATTCACAAACCAAAAGAAGACCATGTATTTGAACCTGAAAGGCCATATCTGAAATATCATTTTCTGTCATGCAAGACCATAATATATCATGTGAAATGACCTTCATGAGCATGTCAATCATTCTCCCAACACACCCTAATGCAGAAAAAAGGTCAAATGTTTCTAAACCAGAAAGACATGGCAAAACTGTATTTTCATGTCCTCAGTGTGCACATATCCCTACTAGAGCTTTATGAAAAAAAGTGGTTGCTTCAAAGGGCTATGCAAATATTTTCTAGAATGCTATGCAACTGACAACATTTTTCTATGTAATGTAAAAGGGCCATGAGGGTCAAAGTGAAATTCAGTCAAAAACATCAACATGTGCACATTCAAACTGAAGGAGAAAAGCTTATTTCATTAAAAGACCACCTCAGTGGTGCTTTATGACTCCAGAGATGAGTAAGAAGCTGGAGTCTGAATAACACAGCAGCTGATGCACAGCTCTGACACAGGCCAAGAGACTGACTTTTCTTTATCCATCTACAACAAGTCAGATACAGACTGGCTGTTGGTATATCAAAATTATTGTTGACTCATAGCATGTGGGTCACTGTTCCTCTATGCTCATAGGACTGTACAGAGGAAGCTTACATCACAAGGAAAATATGTCTGGGTGAAAACTTATATAGGTAAAGTGCGCCCAGCCTCAGAGTGCTGTCAGTCCTTAGCTTTCATAAGCAGAGAGTTAACTGAGAAGAAAGAAATAATAACTGAGTTTAGAAAACTGCTTCCTTCCATCAGTAATGATTTCAAACAATTATATGGCCAACATCTCAGAAGATGGACTCTCCTCATTTTTAAATAATGGTTAATTAAGGTTTGCACTGACTGATTTAAACAGGTCTCTCCAGAGTCATGGTCAAAAAATGGTCAGCTTCATTAGAAGTTTCAGAGTCACTGCCCAGAGCAATACACTCCAACCTGCCCACTCAGCCCTTCCAATGTCAGTGCAGGAATAAGCATGAACTGGCACTCTAGTGTAACATGTATAGTCCAGGCAATCTGTATTTGATGACAGAGCATTTTAAAAATTATATAGCTGTCAGAGACTGAGACAGTTAATGACTTACTTATTGTAAGATCACCAAAAGACTTTTGCAATCTGTAAAGAAACAACTGCTCACCCAGCAAAGCCTACCCCTCCTTGAATATGCCTACTGTGAAAGGACCTTCAAATCAGATAAGTGAGTGCCCTTGTCCAACTATCCCACGTGCAGGAGAGCATGCATACCTGAAGCCACAAACGGGATTTGAACATAAGGAAAGAGACCAAGAAGAGACAAATTCTGCAAGGTGGGATAAATTCTTATCATGCCAATGTCCTCCCTTACATGATGACTCTGCTGTGAAAAACCCTTCAAAGAAGCATTGAAAACTTGTGTCATGTCCCGTGACATGATCAGTGGTAAAACTCCTCACTCTAGTGACGTAGCAAGTGTTCCCATCTGAGCTGGAAGTGTACATTTACTCATGAAACATTGGAGGGGTGGGCTTCTCCCAGACCCAACAGACCAAGACCACCACTTCAACCATGGAAGCCCTAACTAACAAGTCTCACCCCTGGATCCAGTGGGCAGTGACTACATATATTTTTCCACCTTTATCCTTTCTTTCCCTTTCTCTCCCTTATGCATTTCCTGAAGTGTTATATGCTTTAATGTTGCTACATTGCTGTACATGCTTTAATACTTCTGTATTGCTGTAGATGATAACACCCAAAATGGCAACATACCTGTTTACCTTTGAGACAAAATTGTTCCAAAATAAACTCTGCATATATATGTTTGCAAACACTGATTATTCAGTGTCACTTCACTCTAATCCATCTCAAGGGATTTATTAATAAGAATTTGGGTTACTGTCACCTTATGGGACAAGCTGTAACCACAGTCATCCCATACAATAGTTGTAGTCATCCCATGCTCTACTTCTGGCAACACTATAAGACCTTTTCAAGAGTCCTCTGAACACTAAGGTATTTATACATATATTTTAGCCAAAAATACATAGTACATACTTGAAAACTGTGATTTGAAATTATCTCTGAATCTTCTAACTCATTGACAAAGATCAAAATATATCACTATATTTCAAAGTTGGTCTGAAAATATTGTTAGTGTATATTTTCTTCTAAGTTTTCCAGGAATTTCTGGAAACTATAGCTACTTGGTTTATCTAAGAAAGAGATTCCAATGAGAAGGGCCTTCTGCATCACAGATTCTTCACTCTTCCCATCAGAGCCAACCTGGAAATCCCTGCACACCAGATTTTTTCTGGGCTGCTACCTATGGGAAGGGTATCTGCATGCACAGCTTACCTGCTTTCTAAGATGTAGTAGGTCAGGTTGCTTCCATTGTCATCAGCCTTTTCCCACTGTATGGAGTTTTTAGTGTCTTCTGCTCTTTTTGGCACTCCTGGCTTACTGGGAACACCAGCTTAAGCCAAACAGGGAAAGAAGCAGAACTTTCAGTATGTGTTTATAACAAGACAAAGGGCTAACAGGCACAGAAAAAAAATTAGATGTGCACATGAGTGTTTAGATGTACAAAAGGATGGAGGATCTACAGCAATAATCCCCATCTGGAATGTATCTTTAGCCTTCTCTTTGCAATGGATAAATTTCAAAATTTTTATTCACATTCAGCCTTTCACCAGTAACAAGTACACATGAGTATAGACATTTCATTTCAGTTTCCCTCACTCTGTTCCTCTGCTCCACTTGGAAATAAACCTCATTTCTTTCCCCTTATTACTTTCAAAGGTATGATATTGTGTTATTTATTTTTCAAACACACAGAACTATTGGTTCTTAGTATAAGAAAATTGCCTTCTAAATTTTAGAAAATATTATGTTTAATATTCACATCCTGAAAATAGTCTTAAAATCTTGTTATCCTACATTAAGTGCTTACCCATAGTTTTAAAGCTTGTTGAAGAGGAAGTGCTTTTCACTCCTGTAACATAAGCTACTGTTACTCTTACAAAGTAGTTGGTTGAAGGAAGAGTTCCTGTGAGGTTGCATGTGTAAACAAGATCTGCTGTGCATGTAGTGCTCACAGGAGAAAACCAGTCACTCTTTGTTGGCCACTAGAAAAAAAAATATCCTCATGGTCAACAATATTGCTCTTCTGAAAGCCTGTCACAGTTCTATTCCTGGGTAGAATAACTACTTTTCCACCTCTTAATGTTGTAGTGGGGATAGGACACATGTCCTGTTTCAGTCATGGGACTTTGTCCTCCTAGAGACTAAGGCCACAAATTCTAGGTTTTTTTCTTTGTTTTCAGAAGACCTACAAGTCTTGCCAGTAATAAAGATCTACAGATCAAGTGACCACTTTACACAGCCAAAAGGAACCTTCTCCTTTTATTTCTGGATCACCATGATGTGTCCGTGAGTTCAGCTTGCCATGACACAATTGAAAGGAGGTGGTTTAGTGGAATTGTGCTATGACATTTGTTTTAGGGTAGGGAAATCTTTGGTGTAAGTCTAATGAATCTGATTCTCTATAATAAAAAATCTATGTGATTCAGCTTAGCACATGACTTTTTCAGCATCTACTGGTTCAAGCATTAAAATCTGAATTTCCATCCATGTTGCTGTCGCTACAGCACTTCTACACTTTGCACTACTGGATCTGTCTTTGTCTCCAGCATTTTCTCCTACCTCTATAACAGAAAAATACAATTCAGATACCAGGTTGTAGCTAATATTTATCGCTGAAAACCCATTTCTTATTTTTCTTATGCAGAGCAAACTAAGGATTTATAGATGCAAGCCAGGTTGGGGCAGAGCAGTGAGAAAACACGGAGAGGGCTCTGCTGAAACAGGAGACCAGGGAGGAATTCTGGTGGGGTCACCCAGGATGTCCTTTGGCACTATGGAGTACTAAATGCTCTAGCTGCATTCCTCCTTGTTCCTGGCAAACACTGTCTTCATCCTGCCCCTTCTGAGACACTAAGACTGACATCACCAGGCCGAAATTATCCACTGGGCCTCTTCATGTACATCCTGCCATTCACCCTGTCCTGCTCACCAGGACAGAGTAGCTTAAATTCACTCTAATATGAAAAAAAAACCCTAAGTGGTATTTTTACCTTACACAGCTCAAACCAGAAGCTGGATTCTTTAATGTGCAGAGGAGCTCTCCATTCTAGCTGGAAACTGGTGTTTCTGGGAACTATGTTGATAGGTGCAGGTGGAGTCTCAAAAGTTTTTGCGATGACAGGGACGCTTTCAGAAAACCAGTTCTCGTCAGGATGAAAAGCAAGAACCTAGTAAGGAAAAGAACGAACTATACAATACCAGACAAGTTGGAAAGGCAGCTTTGCTTTAGCAACCCAAAATGTTTAGGAGACTAGCTGTTTTCAAACAAGACAGTGTTCAGGCAATACAGATATAGGTGTAGAAATATTTTAAGCCTCATAGCTGCAGCATTACACATCTTCAGGCTGGAAGTTCATGGCCTGGAGGGCATGGAGTACCCTTCCCTTCCACAGAGATTCTTCTTAGTTTCTCATCTCAGCTTTCTTACCAAGACTTTTCTCTTTCTAGACCTTTCATAAGTGCCACATGGTCTTACACAGATATGCAGATGTCACATCATGTTATGCAGAAGTTTAGAACCACAAAAACAAAAAGTGAGGAGGTGCCTTAGGATGTTGCCTTTCGCTAAGCCACAGTCTAACACAACCTATGTTTGGTATGCATACTTGCATAAACTCATACAGGTATTTAGGTAGGTGTATGTATACATACATATATATATGTATTCCCCATGTAACATCCAAGTCATTAACAAAAGCACAAATTCAAACAGATCCCCTCCTGCCATCATCTGAATGTTCTCCCAACTGTGAAAACCACATTGTGATTGTGATGTACCAAGACCACATTCTGCAGACAACATGTTTACTTGTTTGCTTTTGAAAATGTCACTCTGCTGACAGCCCTGCTGTCCAGATACATCATTTATTGTTTTCCTTTTAAGTCTTCATCTATAAAGGGAGAAGCAGTACATTTTGTTATGAGTCTATACTAGACACTTTTATTTGCCTGCTTTACAGAAGAGCAGTAAAAATATTTGCAGTTTAGTGAAAAAAACAATAAAACTACTTGCAACTGTACCTTGAATGAATTTTTTGTTCCAGGTTGGAGCCCACTGACAGACCAGGCAAGCATCCCATTTGAAAATTCACTTTTTCGCAAGGGTTTCGCTGGAACAGGAGGTAATGAATTGACAGAGATTTGATAGCGGATGGATTCAAGAGGTCCATTTGGCTTCAGAGGGTCACTCCAAGATATACTGATGGTGGTGTCAGACAAAACTAATATTTTAATAGTATCAACTGCCTCTGGTACTGAAATAGAAAGAAAAATGAACCTTCTTTTAGGTATAGATCTCACAAGAAGGTTTTTTTTGTCTGTTTTATTTTTAAAGAAGTCAAGAAATGTCACCAGGGAAGGAAAATAAGGTTAGATGTATATGAATATGATTAATTTACAGGACTGACACTTTACACATATAAAATTCATATTCTTTTATAGTCAGTCAACTACAGACAAGTTGGAAATATTCTGAGGGACTTTTTAGTATCCTCTTGGCTATCCTACAATGAAAGCAGACAAAAAGATACCAAAAAAACAACTGGTGTTCTATACCACTACATTTATAGTCATATCACTGAATTCCTGCTCTCTCTTTGTTTCTTGATCAGAGTCTCAGATAGGAGTTTATATGATGCTTACTTGGATGCACAAACAAAAAAATACCTGTGCACTATTCCAATTGGAAAATCTTCTCTTGAACAGAAACTTCTGATGGAAGAAAACCCAACATTAAGCATTGTTTGCCATCATTTGTAATTTTACTCAGAAATACGTGATCTGGCTGAGCTGTGTAAGGAAGAAACTGGGTTGCTGCTTTGATGTCCATACTAGCTTGTTAATTGTTCTCATTCATCATAAACTCATTAATTGTTCTGGAGAAATCAACCTTTCCTTTGAAGCTTTAAGGTCACAGACTTTGAAATAGTATATGGCATACCTCACCTCTGCATTGAAAAGTTCATTTGCTATTTAATTGTCCAGATAGATAAAAAGTTCACTTATTTTCCCAACATATCAGAATGATGAATCCATATGGTATCATTTATGTCCTAGTAGAAAGACTATAGATTATTTAATGAAATATACAGAAACTTGACAAATAAAGACTAGACAAATTTCTCATTTCTCTAGCTTAAACATATGTGGAGTAAGAGTGACACTCTGTGGCAAGAGAAAAGCATTATTTTTGCTAAGTTGTCTTCCTCCTTTTTCATGCCCTCTATCTTGTTATTTGATGGAAAGCACACATTAATCCAAGTTTCTTTTACTTCATTACAGAATTGAGAGAAAGGCAGAAAGAATTCACACAGCCTCAGAGGTGTAAAATAGTGTACACACTTCAAGAGGCTCTAGCAGCATCTGATTACAATTTAAACTAGCAGTTACATTCATGAAATTGAGAACATAAGTGTCGGGACACATATACCTTCTATTTACAGCTGGTTGGAAATTTTTCAACAAATTGTGAAAAGCATTCTGAATGATGATGCAAATACATTTTAAAAATGCTCAGGTTTGTGGGCTGGGATATTGGGGGAGGAGGGGAGTTGGTTGTTTCCTTGGTTTGGTTTGGCTTTTGTCTAGGACTTTATTTCGATCCGGATGTTTAGTTTTGCCCCAGCTCGAGCAGCCTATTCTGAGTTTCATGTTTCATTTTAACTTGAGACTGAAAAATTCCATTTCAGTAGAGCAATTCAGTCTCCCATTTCATATGCTACCCTTATGTTTCACCACTGAAAGGGTGTGCATTGCTGCAGAATGGATAGGTTTACCATACAGAGAAGTAATGGTGTGAATTCTTGCCACATCCCAATAGTATTCAATCTTATTCAATCAATGTGTCACACTAATTTTATACTGTGGATATGGATTCCCATGCAAAGAATTGAAATCTATTGGGTTTTTTATTTTTTTTTTTACCCATAGATTCCTTAGGAATACAGAAAATATAGAATCATAGAGTCATCAGGGTTGGAAGAGACCTTTAAGATCATCCGGTTCAACTCTCTACCCAGCACTGTATCCCTTAAACAACTAAGCCAAATCACTCAGCACCAGATCCAGACGCTTCTTAAACACCTCCAGGGATGGTGACTTCATCGTCTCCCTGGGCAACCTATTCCAATGCCTGACCACTCTAACAGTGAAAAAATTTTTTCTAATATCTAATCTGAATCTCCTCTGCCTCAGCTTAAGGCCGTTTCCTCTAATCCTGTAACTGAAGACATGATAGAAGAGGCTGGCTCATAATATTCAGAGATCCACATAGGATGAGAGCCTATTTGCTTGATGCTGCAGATGCCAAGAGATCTGACTGTTGAGAGGAAAAAAAATAGCATAGTTGCAAGAGAACTTCCAAAGTATAGTTTGTCTGGATTCCAAAAGAAGAGTGGCAATATGCCTGCACCTCTTGTTCCACTTTCATTTGAAAGATGAAAAGAGGTTCATCTTAAACTGAGGGGGAAAGTGTGACTGCTCCCAGGACAAAAACCAGAGAATGATCTGTGCATAAGAAAAGCCACTGGCAGTTCACAGGTGATGCTCTCCTGTGGACAATGGTAGCAGAAAAAGCAGTTACTTATTCTATAAATAAACCTTTAAAGAAATCACAGAGTACAGAGAAGAAAAGGAAACAGGACCCCTGGCATGTACTTGTTACCAGGTATTCTGAATAAAGTGTTTCCTTGAACACAGTTGATCAGTAGGGGAGAGAGACATTGAGTCAAGTAAGAAAAACATAACAGTGGCTGTCCTTATTTCAACTGTAGTTACTTTAGCATCTTCTGAAGTAGCCAAAAGCCAAGGAGAGGTAAAGAAAGAGAAGGGGAAGCCTTAGAAATCCTGCTGTGGCATCCTAACTGCATGTCACATCAATATCCGCAGAGCTGCCCAGCCTGCAGAGCTCTATGTAACTATAGCCATCCCTGCTGTCCCCGGACCAAGCGAGCCAATGCCCAGGGACCAGGTACTACTGTGTCTCTCAGTTTCACTCCCTTCTCAAGGAAAAACTGCTCCAACTCTGCAGGACAAGAGCCAGGCAGAAAAACTAGAGAAGATGAGGGTCGTACCATTCCCATATCCTTGTGAACTCAACAGCAAGCATCCTTAGGTACAATCTCCCCAGTATTTCCTGCAGAGCACAGACTTGCTACCACATGGACTTGGCTATAATTCTGACTTGCTGACTTAGGTATTATCAGAGATACCTGATGCAAGTGATGGCTTTACGTGGATCAAGCTGACACTGGCTGGTGACACCTGGCACAATAAATGGGTGACAGCTACAGAGCAAACCTGATACAACAGAAGAGCAAGCACTATGTATACTACAGGGAATAGCTACCTCTCATAACAGTTTTCCATGTTTTCACAGAGTTCAACAGACACACTCCAATTATGAGAAAATTGCCTGAAGAGAAGCACAAAGGCAACTCCTCTGGAAGACAGGTACAAGTGTGCATGTGTACACTCACATGCAAAACAAGAGAAAATGCTAAGCAAGGTACTTCTATTGGATTGGGTTACAATGTAAGACAACATGTACAAATGTATTACATGCATCTTTGGATGACCCTTTTCTTTCTGGAAGACAACAAGAGCTTCAGGGAACTGACCCAGTAGCTGCCTCACAGCTGCAAATAAGTGGAGTGAAGCAGGGAGTGAGCTGAAGTATCTTCCTGCCCTAATTTAGGTGTTTCCATGCACAGGAGGCATCTAGCTCAGACTAGTAGTATTCTCAAAGAATAAGGACATCTTAGAGTTGAGCTCCATGTGAATCTCAATTCCTCTACTGGTAACTGATGAAAATTTCCAAGTCATGTTGGTTTCAAGGACAGATGGGATACATGGGTCTGCGCTATAGTGGCAGAGAGTTGGTTTTTCTTACTATCACATGCCCCAAGTTTCACCTAATATGACAAGTTGAACTCCTTCTGAGCTTCTTCTGTGTTCAACGGAGCCCGTGCTAGCTGGCTCCAAGATGGACCCAAGGCCAAGGCCACCTTGGCCAAAGCTATTTGCACCAGCAGTGATGGTAGCACCTATACAATATTTAAGAAAAGGAAAAAGAAAACTGTTCAACTGCAGCTGGAGAGAGGAGTGAGAATACATGAGGGGAACAACTCTGCAGACACTCAGGTCAGTGAAGAAGGAAGAGAGGAGATGCTTCAGGTGTTAGGGCAGAGATTATCCTGCAGTCCCTGGTGAAGAACACAGAGCAGCAGGCTGTGCCTCTGCAGCCCAAAGAGGTCCATGGTGGAGCACCTGCAGCCCCTAGAGAACCCCACACCAATAGAGGTAGATGCCTGAACAATGCTCTGGCCCCATGGAAAACCTGTGCTGGAGCAGGCTCCTGGCAGGACCTGTGGAGAGAGGAGCCCATGCTGTAAAGGGCTTGCTGGCAGAACTTATGACTTGTGTCCACAGGGGAGCAGCCTGTTCCTGATAGACTGCAGCCCACAGAAGGGACCCATGCTGGAGTAGTTTGTGGAGAACTGGAGCCTGTGGGAAGGACTCATGTTGGAGAAGTTCATGGAGGACTGTCTCCCATGGGGAGGGACTCCATGCTAGAGCAAGGAAAAAATGTGAAGAGCCCTCCCTCTGAGGAGGAAGGAGTGGCAGAGACATGTGATGAATTGACCACAACCCTCCCTCTGCACCTCCCCTGCACCACTGCAGGGGAAGAGGTGGAGAAAACTAGAAGTAAAGTAAAGCCCCAGAAGAAGGGCGGGGTGGGAGAAAGTTGTTTTAAGGTTTTGTTTTGTTTCTCATGATCCTACTCTGATTTTATTGGTAATAAATTAAATTAACTTCCTCAAATTGAGTCTGTTTTGCCCATGATAGTAACTGGTGAGTGATCTCAACCCATGAGCCTTTTGTTATAGTCTCTCTCCCCGTCCAGCTGAGGAGGGGAGTGAAAGATCGGATTTGGTGAGCACTTGGCATCCAGTCAGAGTCAACCCAACACACTTAACATCTTATCTTGGCCTCTTGCCTTCACTAATACCTTTCTCACTTATCCACTCACACGAAGATTTCTTAGTTTCCCTCTGCCATAATTAGATAAGTTTACCAATGTGTTTATTTATTTTTAGGTAACCTCTAAGCAGTCCACTCTGCCCTAAATGACACAGTGAACATTCAAGTGCAAAGCACTAATCCTAGCTTTCTTCTTTTTGTCTGGAAAGGGCTGAAAGGGTGGACCAAAATTCTTGAAACCAACTGAAAATGACCTGTTGCCATTCAGGCCAAAAGTAAAAACAAAATATTTTCTTTTCAACCTGGTTCATGACAAAACAAATCTGCATTACTTTAAGAAACAGTAATTGTGAGAATGATGTCAAGTCAAGGGGAAAAAATACTGAATGAATATGTAACACACATATTTAAACACACATAACAGCATATACATTCAAATCATCATCATGGCTAGGCTTCACGAACAAAGATTTGAGAAGGGCTCTACCCACGCTTGCTACAAGCGCGCTGATGGCTAGAAAGGCCAATATGAGATAGACAAGTCCGGTTGCAGAAGGCACAGCAGAAAGACTCCCCAGGTGATATCGACGAGACGCGATTCTTTCTGCGTTGTCTTTTCTCCTCGAGAGTGATCCTGCGTGTGTTCTCAAAAGCAGCAGCAGCGTTATAGATGGTGTGTCTGTCTCCAGGCCTCCCGATTGGAGGCCAGGGTAGACCAATGGTGATGATCAATATGGCCAAGGCTGAGGGATTGTTTCAGGCAGTCCTTGTACCTTCTCTTCAGGGCTCCTCTCTTGCGGTAGCCAGTGGCAAGTTCCCCATAGAGCACGATCTTAGGGAGGCGGTAGTCCTGCATCCTGGAGACGTGCCCTGCCCAGCGCAGCTGTGTTCTCAGCAGCATGGCCTCAATGCTCGTGACTGCTGCCTGTTCAAGGACAGACGTGTTGGTCACATAGTCAGTCCAGTGGATGTTTAGGATTGTACGGAGGCAGCGCTGATGGAAGCGTTCTAAGATTGCAAGTGGTGGTGGTAAATGACCCATGATTCAAGTACAACCTATTAAAAGATGTGGTCCAGGGCAGAACTGCAACTGTTTACCCAATTTAAACCATTGTTTATCTTTCCTCAGGAAGCCAATGAGCCAGAACATTGAAGAATACATATGTGTCTTATGAATCTTACAAATTCATCAACTCTGGTTGCCAAAACCTTGTGAAGATCTACACAGGTTGCATTTTAAGCAGACTACTTGTCTGCTTCCTGACTTGCAAACCAAACTTATATATACCTTTCTTTAACTGAGATAAGAATTCTGTTCAAAATCAGAATAAAATATGAAGCAAACCTCCACACAGAGTTGTGCCAACTGTGTGTTTTCCCATAGGCTTCACTTCCTCCTCTGAATAGTAGTTCTTCACTGCTATTTGTATGGCATAACTTGAAAATGGCTGTAGGTTGTCTAGGACAGCGATAGCATCCTGAAATTCCTGTAATTAGAAATCAGATAATAAACACGCATTCTTAGAAAAGAGAATATGTCATATGTCAACTCAAACATCCGTCAGTGAAATGCATGATAAAAAAAAAATACAGTAGTTCTTTTATATTGTAATACAGTTCGGTGTTTAAAAAAAAAGAATGTTAAAATCATGGTTTGGGGAATAGGTCACTACAGAAAAGAAAGCACATACCCAAAAACAAGCCAAAGTGTAATACCACACTATTCAATGGCAATTCAGGAAATGGCAAAGTTAAAAAAAAATGTAAGAAAAAATTATTAACAGAAGTACAACTACCACAAAGCACATAAAGGCAAGCTATTTGGTTGCTGGACTGTCTGAAGAGTTATTTCAACAGGTTAATATCAACCACAACCACTGATTTTACAAGTAGAAACTGAAGACTTATTTTAGTAGGATTTTAGCAAAGGCAGGTTGAAAAGTAGAGGAGTACTTGCACAAAGGAAAGCTAAGAAATCTACCACTTACCAAATACCAGACAGAAAAGTGAGTTACTGCTGGGACACAGAAATGGAAAAACTTACTGATAGAAAGTTACAGAATGGTTTATAATGTTACTACAAGTGATATCATATTCCCTGTTTATATGCGGTATCACACCCACTATTTCTGTTCTGAAATAGTCATACCAATGTTTTCTGCTGTAGAGCAGACAAACAGTATCTTGAGCTCCTGCAGGTGTCAGTCATTTGCCTGAAAAATACCAGGTATGTTGGTGTAGGCTGCGTTATGCCAGGGCACAGCTGCTGTGGTGTGACGGATGGCAACCTTAATGTAAAACTGGTGTTGGTCGTAGCAAGGATAGTAGGTTCCTCGGTGTCTGGCAATAGGATCAGGCATCTTTTATCTAATAAAGAGATCAAAAAAAATTAAAAAAGGTAATTATGGCTGGATCAATCCAAACTTGCATGGGATCTTCGCACCAGTCTTAGCAGAAAGCATAACCATGAAGTATTCTCTCTCCTTTTACAAACCGAAAGAGAAGGAAAACCCACCTGAATGTATTTTATTTGATGACATTCATGGACACAAAAATAGTGGTCACCAAAGGAAGTCTCATTTATGTTTCATAAGACACAGCTTTAATAAAGAATTTATGTTCTTCTTTAAGCAGAAAATGGAAATGCAAATTGTAGTTACTGTGTTATCAAGGGCAGTAAACACTGACAAGCCCAAATTTCCTTGTCACAGAAAAGACAGATATGCAGAATAGAGAGTACCTTTCTCTAGCAATTAAATGTTTTTGGTTTTGGTTTTGGTTTTTTTTCCCAAACAGCTTTCCACACGTAAAGAACAACAGGGAAGGAGAGAAAAATTTTGGAACTAGAAAAGGAGTCTGTAAGGAGAAAGCAATATGAAACTACACTCTGACAGTTAACAAAAAATAACAAAAAAAAATCCTCATCACTTGATGTACTTTTAAAAACAAAATAAAGTTATATTGAATGGATTTCCTGCTAAGAAGGAAAAGATTAAGGTGTGTGCATAGGGAAGGTACAAGGATCAGTGCTTGTCCTTAGGCCAGAACAACTGACCTCATGGTCAAGATTTTTTCTTCCTAAATGAGCAACCCTGACATTCCTACCAAAGTCAGGTTCATGCATAGAAGGGAAAGCAACTAAAAAAAGTATGTTTAACAGAAATAGATGTAAGGTTAAATCTTTGTCAATTTTATATCGACCTAGACTAGTAAAACTCCCATGGGAAAAGTCCCAGATGGAATAAAGAATTGAGTCACTTTCAGTGTTAAAGTTTATGTCAGGCGGTTCCATAGAAATGTGTTTACCCTGACAAGAAATCCTTCACTACATATTCAGTCCCCTTCCTTATAACCCTGAAGAGAAATCATTCTCTCAGAGAATCTGAGACAAGACAATAATTTTCTCCGAGTACTTCTGATGTGTCAAATGATCAACTGACATCACATCTCTGGATGGCAATTAAATAGGTTAGAGTGAAAGGAGACTCTAGCAGTACTCCTTCCTCACATCACTAAAGCAATAAAAAGCATGTCAGTCGACCCAGATGGTCCTTAAAAACATCACTTTTCCACACATACACCATTTGCTTTCAGTACTGAGAACTTTCTTTGTCTTATTTTAGTATGTTCACTTACTTTTATTTTAAATGTGTGTGAATAATTCTCTTTATTGCCCTCCTACTCAGATGCCAAGGTTGTATATTCCTCCAAATATATTTGCAGCAGTCAATGTAAATAAGAAGAGCTCTGTAGAAATCTCAAGGTAGAAATAATCCACTTGGACTGAGAGTTGGTTCCTCCCTCTCTAAATCAGCTAAACCTGAGGCTCTTGCGGGAAACCCTATCCCCTGGGGACAGGGATTCTGTATCAGGGCCAAACCAGGCTCCTGCACCAATGCCAAACCCACACAGGTCTCATGGGAACAAACATGCCCAAAGTGCTGGTAAGAATAGCCTGTGTATTGGTAAGAGCAGCTGCAGGCAGGAATAACACTACTGGCTACCCAAAAGAATGTGAAATTGTTTTATTCCAATTAATTTCATCTTGTTAAAATATTCTCTTGTATATTTGTCAGGTTTTTTATACAGAACTGGAATTAAAGAATTATTTTGAATATATTCAACACACTAGTACTGTTCTAACCCTCTGCATTTATAAAGATAATCCCTATGAATCCTAATTTTCAGTTCTAGGTATCATGAATCTTAATTTTCTATTAAAACTAATTTTTTTAATTTCTTTCATTATCATTATACAATGGTTTGTTTAAAATACCAGGATTTCTACATGAAGCTTGGGTCTATTATAATGTAACCTATAATTGTCTCTCAGGTATTTCTTTATAAATAATTTTAATAATCGGAGTCTTATCTCTTCGTCTCTGGAAGGGCAGACCTTTTTATTTCAGTTTTACATACTTGTGAACAAAACCAGAAATCTGTGTCATAACAGGGGTTGTTCTCAAACTCTTACTACAACCGTCTGTGGAAGGCATTTGCTCTTTTTCTGTGCTTTAATGTGCATCACAGTTTCTAAATCTCCAGGTTTGACACAACTGTGAAAATAGGCATGGTTTGGCATTAAGAAACATGGGCAATACTAATCATCATGCCTTTTCATGTGATCTAACACAAAGCCAGTCATCCAGTCATCCTTTTAAAAATATGCAAATTGTTTCTCTCTAGAAGGTACCTGAATCCATGAAGCACACTTTGCATAAATACACATAGCACCATTGGCAATTTAAATACCATTTAAATACATGTTTCTGAAATAAATTGGTTACATTTACAAAACAACCCAAATCCCCTCTACCTGGATACAATTGTGCCGCTGAGCTGTAAGCTAAGATTTTTAGCTTGTGATTTTGTCTCTTGTGAAGGAAGTGTCTTGTGCTTTCTTTATTTAGTAGCCAAATTTCAGTGTATTCCTTTGTTTCTGCACTCCAGTATATAAATTTCTTATCTGCAGTCAAGCTGCCAATTTTCTTACCTGTAGGAAAACATTGCATAGTTAAGTTTTATAATCACAGAATCACAGAATATGCTGAGTTGGAAGGGACCCACAAGGATCATTAAGTCAACCCTGAGCAAACAATTTTACAAGAGTAGATGGGTATTTGTATTCACAGTGAGTCAACATCTTGGCCATAGTGTATCTTCAAAGATCACCCCCTGAAAAGAGATTTCTGATATTTTCAAGTAGGTCTCATGAAGTTGAGACACTATTTCAATTTACAAGGGTAGATTTGAAGGGTTTTTATTATCATAATTATGAGAACTGTAATTCTATCACCAAACACAAGAAATGAAACACGAAAGTGAGAGTTCTCTACAGAAATTTTCATCTTTTTTCCAAGATGTAAACCACTGCGATCTGCCATCTCCTGGGAACAATTAAGACAGCTCCTCTAGTAACAGAACAGGTTTACCAGCGCTCCTCCAGAACTGAGCTGAAAACCGAGCAACAAAGATTAGGTGTTATTACAAGAATTGAAATATAGATAAGTTGTCATATGAGACCATATCTTCATGAAGTACCCTCCCCACATATTGAGGTCTGCAATGCCATTTTCAGGCATGACTTAATACATTCCTGTATATTCTCACTGAGATAAACTCTAATAGGTGTAGATAATATGAAATCCTAGCAAAATAATGTGTTAATACTCGAAGTGAAATCTTTTGACAGGTAGCATTTGAGGCTGTAGCATCTCATTTGATTTACATCTTACTACAATACATACTTGCATCACACTGCTCTTCCTCCCAGTTTGTATCAACGTGGTACACAACTGGAAACATAGAACACAACCATTTTGTCCATATTGACTAAAGATTAATCAGTTTTATAAATACTGTGCTCCATGACAGTAATTTTTGGAAACAAACATTGTTTGATGTAAGAGACAGCAAGAATCATAAACTACCTAGAAACATAACAGAACACTCAGACCTTGAAAACTTGGTATTTTGGTAACTCTCCAACAGTGGCAACCGTCCACATCTGAGGCCCATATTTCATCTCTTCCTCTGACAAAGAGAAGCTGGGGATTCTTGGAGTCAGACACATCTATACTCATAGGTCTTCCTAGCTCTGCTTCTGCCACGTTACAGGTGCAGTAGTTCCTCATCTGTTCTTCTACCGATATGTATCCCAAAACGTGGTGCACCGTGTTATTCAGAATATCGTAATAAAACATGCGGTTGCCATAATCGAGCTCTTCCATCCAGTACAAGCGGCTATCAAATAAAATGGATTCCTTACAGTAGAAAAACTTCAATCTGAGCAATCTGCCCCAAGTGCAGTCCTGTGAGTTATTAGTCAAAAGCCTCCCAACCCTTTAAAATGAGGTAACTACAGCAGTGCACTCGCAAAGTGATTCCAAGTGCTTACTGGTTATTTTTGTATGGAAGGTCACAATAACTGATTATTCCAGATAAAGTGGTTACTGCAAAAAATTTTTGTCTGGTGCTGACTTTCATTTGCATTACTTAAATGGAAGAACCTGTCAGTATTTAAGTATGATTTGAAATCTTTACTCAAACACAGACATCTTTTGAAATTAGATATGACCAAGCTCAACTAGCTGTATAAACTAGCTACACCCCAAAATTTCAGAGATTTACATAATGCCAAAGACTCATGTACTATAAAAAGTCCTTTTTGATTCTTAACAGTTGAAGATTTAATGAAAATCATGTTTAAAATATGCTTATAAAAAGTTATTGGTAATATATGCCTTACCTTAAGAAAGGATATGACAACAGAGATGATATAGTTGAATTACTTTTGCCCAACTGCACATCCAAGGCTTTTAGAGATTTTTTTTGGAGCTCGAGATAAATAACAAATATTTGAGTTTCATTCCATGGTGTTTTCAAGGCAAGAAAGAGATGTCTTGCAATCCAGTCCACTGTTATGGCTGTGACATTGTGAAGATATGCATCTTTGAAAAACTTAAGAAAAAAATAAAAACATTATTAAAACCGTTTAAGAGCAGAATTATCCAACCTTATGCTAGAACAATATGAAATTAGATTTGTTTCTGAGAGAAATGTCTACTTGGGAAGTAGAAGTCAAAATATAAAGAGGCACCATGGATTGAAGATTGCAATATTTTTGTACAATTGGAAACTATTGTTTCAGAAATATCAATTATTGCTTCCATATTGCTTTTATATTCTTGACATTAGAATGAAATGAAATTACATAAATTTGATACAAAAATACATTTCTTGTATTTAATAACGTGAATTTTAAATTAAATATCTGATTAAATATCAACAAAGTAGATGTCAGTAAAGCTATTTGTGATTAATAGGACAACTTTATCAACTTTACCCACTCATTTTGACTTTTTCAAAAACATAATTGGCCACAAAATAATGACAATTATGGCCACATACTTTCCTAGATTCTCTCAAGTAAGGGAATGAACACAGAAATACCTGAAACTTTGAAGCATTCTGCATATTCAGAATAAAAAGAGAATCTTCTATGATATGGTATGCTTTGTCATCATTGGCAGTATAACAGATGTCCTTTACATTTGTTTTTGCTGGAAGTTCCCACATGGTATGATTACTGTCTATGTCGGTAAGAAACAAGTGGTTGGCAGTAATAGTTATAAGAGTTGGGACAGGGAAAAGATCTGGAAGGAAAAGGACACAGCAGAATTCATGAAAAGCATTCTAGATAATCACAATAATTCATAAGGAAAGCAACTACAAGATATAAATAAATTATGGCCCTGCTCTCAGTAAATAAATAAATTAATCAGGATGCCTTCTTGTCATCACAATCAATTCCTCAGATATTTTCCATGGCATTGTGGATGTTTATCTAACAAATTTAAGCATGATAAAGCAGATTTGCTCATTTAATTTGCTTTAACAGCCCAACTAGAAATAACCTATGATCTCTAGTAGGCCTCTAACTCTCCTGGTTACTATTCACAACCTAATTGGAAATATTTTACGATCTCTAGCAGTACGCAGATTACAAATCAAAAGCCACTGTTGTGGAGTTGCCTAGAGTTCCTGGAGTTGCCTAGAAATGTTAATTTAGTGTAGTTTTGAGGAAAGGCTTGAAATTCCTGAAATTTAGTCTAATGATAGTTAATATGTCCATTATTTCATGTCAGAAGCTGTAACTATTTTCTCTGTGGTGTCTGCTGTAAGGTGGAACAAATGTCACATAGAATCATAGAATCAGCTGGGTTGGAAAAGACCTCTGAGATCAAGTCCAACCCTTGATCCACTACCACCATTGTAGTGTTGGAGTTATTTATCAGATTACCAAATTCTTGTACTATCAATTTCACCAGCTATTGCAAACAAACCATGAGATGGCAACTAAATCATCCATACCTGCTGAATTCCTCTCTACCACTTCAGACAAAGGTCCTGGGCCTACAGAGGTGAAGGCTTGCACCTGTGGGACAGGAGATTGTTATTTATGTTAAGTGAGAGCATAAATGATTGCATTTGAAAGTCTGTAAAGTCATAGTTAATGAAAAAACCAGTAGATCCTATGTCTGCTCACCCAGGAACATATGGGTATGCTTCTGTTTGACATAAGTACTGGTCACTTCAAAGGCGACATTCAGGTTTTGACTATGGCTATGAAGAGAATTTTAAGCAGTGGGCTACACAGTGACAATCCATGTTTTGTCTAACAATCAGAGCTCAAAGGACTCCAAACAGTCCTGCCTCTTTTCCCAGCCTGGAGCAATTCCTACTGTTGGTTGACTGTTCAACCAACACGGTGTTCTCCCCATCAATACCTGCTCTATGGTCTCATGCTTTTAACTTGTCTTTCAAGCACACATTCTGTGTGTTCCAAAGCTTTTATCACAATGAGACTATGACTTCTTGGCAAGTTTAAAAATGGAAATTTTTTTTATGGAAGCTGTTTGAGTCCTTGCAGAAGGTACAAGCTCTTGACCCAAGCCCAATACCATCTCCTAGGCAAACACATCAGACAGCACTGATAATATCTACTGTCTAACATGACATAAGCCTAATTTTTCATACCTGAAACCTTACTGTGAGGCTGGGAAGCACATCCTGGAGAGAAAAATGCATCAGGCTGGTTTTAACATTGATTACATTCCACTCTGTGGAAGTGTCAGCAGTGCCAGTCTGATTCAATAATTGATAGTAAATCCTGAACTGCGTTAATACTCCATTGTGCCTTTCAGGTCTGTCCCACCTGAACTCCACAAGGACTTTCTCATCACTTTTATGTAGGTTATGTTGTAACATGTATATTCTAGGGTTTGTAGGTGCTGAAGGAACTGTATAAAAAAAAAAATAAATAAAATCGCGGAACAAATACTCCTATTAAAACACAAACTCTACCTCATAATTAACTCTTTTAGTTTAGATTTTAACTTGCCTAGCAAAAAAAAAAGAGCTGTATAAACAGAAAAAAATGCACTCCTGCACTGAGATGGGACATATCTATTTACCCAAGTCCTGTAGGTAACTATGGAGCTGAAACAATCTTCACAACACAGAGTGTACTCTGTCTCCTCTTCTATGCACTTCAAAATCCATTGTATCTCATAAGTTTTTTCAGTGCTCCAGTCCCTCAACACTATATTTTAGCTAACTTAACTTTGACACACATAAGAGAAAAAATAAAAACTGAATCAAAAGTAAAAATTGCATAACATTTACTAGAAATCTAATAAGTAGTTAAGATACTGCATGCAGCCTTTGATATTCATTGTGATGGATCTCAGTTCCTCTTCTTGTTCATAGTCACAAGCACATGGTGGATATGTTGTCATGCATTATTTGTTCTGAATTCTATTAGTGCAATTGTGTGCTTTTATGTGTGCAATAGATAATTGCCAAAGATGCTCAGAAACTTGTCCTTGCAACTCTGCCTACAGCTGGCTAGTTCTGAAAGCTGCTTATCCTTCTCCAGGGTTTCACTTGCTGACATAGACCTGGCCCCAGCACCCATTACAAGTGAGGAATGGGATTTAAAATTTTAGTACCTCCTTCAGGGGCTCGAAGAGATACAGATGTCGTCGGAGCCTTGCCCCAGTATGTGTATGGAGTGACGGTAAAATCAAAGAGTGCAAATGGTTCCAGCCAATCTACTTGGTAGGATGGCACTGTCAGGTTATGGGAATGAAGGCACCCTTCACTCTTCAGAGACTGTGAATGAAATAAAACAGAACAAAATAAAGGAAGACTTTTTTCTCACTCAGAAAGACTTTCAGTTTTCCAAGATTCCCTCAGAAAGCTGAGCTTCTCTTCCTGTGAGTGATCATTGTTTCACCATCTCCTGTGGCACTGTAGTGATGTGTAGCAATGTGTTAGCAATCTGCCCTCTGAATTTAAAGAAAAACTTGCCAAATACACTAAAATTAATTGTGGGTGAGGGCTAGATTTCACTTTCAGGCAAAGGCCATCCCACTGTCAGCTCAGAGGACACTTCTCTCTCTGAGTTACTGTGAAAGGCTTTCTCACACATCTTTGAGCACTGTGAACTCCTTCCTTGGCTCTTCACACCCCAGCTGCTAGCCCAGAGCTACTGCTAAGCCCGTGTTCTTCCTGTGATGACTGCAGTGATGGAGAACCTGGACAACTTGCATTCCATTTACAGTTTAGTTTTGTTCTTGACCGATTTGTAAATGCTGGAGAAGAAACAAACCAAATTTCTGTATAAAAATAGTTATATCAGCAAGTAGATGCAGTAATATACGTAGATAATAGGGAGGGATTGCATGAATATCCTCACTTGTAGAGCTTTTGATCCCACGCAGTAAAAGACATCTCCCCATTCCACCTTTGTGGAGGGACTCCAAGTGATGTGAAAGCTTGAAGAATTTCCTTTAATCCTGAAGGAAGACTCTGGCACTGCATCTGGAATCACTTTTGGTGTAAAAGACAAATTTCCTGTCCATAAACAGAAGAAATAATAACAACCTAAAGAATGTGAGGAATAGGTAGACTTTTCAAATGTGACTTAAAACGTTAAAGTACTATGGAAAATCCTATAACTGTCTTAAATAGAAACAATAAATAACACCATCAAGTATTCTTTTTATTCATACCCATACCATCAGCTTTATAATTGCACATTAACTAAGTATATCCTAATGTATTTATTAAGGAATTGCACTTGTCCTCATCCTTTGTCAAATACCTAAAGAATTTCAAGAATGAAGAATTACAGGCTGGCAGTGAGGAGTTATTGATGAGTTTAGATAAAGAAAATAACGTACCTGGCAAAGGTTTAAGTGATGCGTGAACAAGGGTAAAGGTTGTAAACTCTGCTGGTTGTGAGAAGGGAATGCTAAGGCTCTGATTTACTTCCTGGGTTGAAATGAACTGAAGCCTATTAATCCAGAACAGACGACCACTGTAGTATTCCAGTGCACCTTGAGATATTTCTGAACTACTCCATGCTGCAAATTCTCTGATGATGCCATTGCCACAACTGTGAAAACATGCATGAAATTAGCAAACTGAAAACACAGGTGTAGAGAGAATAGATTTATGCAGTGTTTGACACATTTGGAAGTTTCTCGTAATTCAAATTCTTAATACTTATGTAGGAAACAGGAAAACAAAAAGTTTTCTTTAAGCTCTTTAAAGCAGAAAACTTTTCAGAATATGAAACATTGCAGAAACACCTGCAAAAAAACCTAAACAAACAAACCCTTTTCATTCCCTTGATTTCATTGGAAAACCATTAAAAAATTGTTTAATATTCTGATGCAGAAAAATGAATATTTTGAACAATCAGCTCATCTTCTCTCAGGAATTTCACCAAAACAGAGTCTACTTTACAGAATAAGATTAATTCCACTTCATTATAGTAGGAACCCAGATGAATTTGACACTGCTAGTTTCCTTCTTTTATTTATTAAACTCTATTAATATTTTCCTCCACTGGGATCACTGATGATTTAATCTGCCATGTATATGGTATGTCAAAACTTAAAGACCTTTTTAGGTCCCAATTTATCTTCTGTGTAAGAGAGTAAATATGTTGTTAGAGGCATCATTTTGCCATCTCAGATATGTCTTTAAGTTTAGACATATGTTATCCAAAACAAATTTGGAAAAGCTTTGACACACCATCAGGTCCATTAGGGTGGATTACTTCTAATCTCTGTATTCTGGCATGTCAGGCACAGTGATTTATGGTGGCCAATTGGTTCACAGTGGGGCTGCATGTTCCAATTAAAACTAATCAACATATTTTTATTTTTTAAGTATTTACTATTAATCATATCAAGTCTAAAATGAGTCAGAAAATTCAGCTGATTCCACACAAAGCCAGCCTGCAACATTATAAGCACATGTAAATACAGATGCTGTTCAGACAATTTTAAGAAGTTTAATCTGATGATTGAAAAAAAAAATAGTGGTGTTCTCCATATGGAAAGGAACAAAACTATAGTTCACAAACCACCACTCATCATACACTTGGCACTTAGAGAACAAATTATCACTTTTCTCAAGGTCTTTGTACGCATTCAAGCTAACCCATAAACACAGTTTTGTTATGTTTTGTCTTTTTAAACTTCACCATTTAGGAATAAAGTAGCCATTTCATGTTCAGGATGATCAAGACAAAAGCCTGCTGAGTACTGATTGCTCAGATGAGAAAGTGGTGTCAGTTTGAGTCCTGAGCTTCATGCAAGATGAACAAGTTACAGAGCTCTAGGCACTTGGAAACTGTCAGATGTCATAAAGATAAAATAGACAAGAAATGGTGATTATTTCCTAAAGCTAAGTCTAAACATTAATGAGCATGATCTCAGTTAAGCTGAGCTTCCACACTGCGTTTCTCTCACTGTAAGAATGTGTTACCAACCATCTCCACATGTAGTTTGCAGTCAGCCAGCTGTGATCATTAGCTCTTCTTTTTGTTCACTGTTAAATTAGTAAATAGTGTGTCCAGCATTAGACAATTTTTTTTTCTTAAAGAGTATCACAAAAGCTAGAATATACTGACTTTCTTAACCCTGATATACATTTACTTACTGTTCTTTGCAGAGAGAAGCTCTGTATAGGTTTAGACATAGACTATCTTGCACAAGCCAGTAAAGAAACCCTTGGGTGAGATCCAAAGTTAAACCAACCACCTAAGAAAAAACCAGTACAAATGGCAATTTGAACACATTTTCACTTCTGACGTAAAAGCCCTTAGGCATAACTGTTGTCTAGACAACTTCATGCGTGGGTATTTATTGGCAAAAATAACATTACTACCATGAATGTTTATTCTAACACAAAATGAGGTAGCTCTAGAAAATAATCAGGTGCTTGGTGTACACCTATTTATAGCAGCTGATTATTTTCTAGATAGCATTTTATTAACACCTGTCACAGTGTTCATCCCTGGACTATCTGAGTACTTCAGATAGGATGGCAATAGTGTACCAAGTGATTAATGGAACTACCTATCAAAATCTCTAGAATGCCTCCAGTATTTTAACAATCTTTATCTGAAACAGGTAGTTGATATCCAATCTGAAAGTCAGAATCACCTTTTAAAAGAAGTGTTTCAGATCTTTTGTCTTTATTTTCTGGCTTTGATTCTATACATAGAATATATAATGTGTTGCATTACTTACGGAAAATAGGTGCAAAATTTTTATCGATATATTTCATTGAGCAGGAAATTTAAATATTTACATTTTAGTAAGTAATACATTATTTTCAAAAGAGGGGGTGTGCAGGAAATTAAACAATCTTCCTGTTCATTCCTTCAGTGTTTTATCTTCATTTAAGTGAGGTGCAAGATATTATGTTTATTTTTAATAGGATTTAATATACAAAATAGAGCTTTCTTGCTTTTGCAGTAAACAACAGATTCAATACCATATGCAACAGTAATAGAAATCAAACATCTAATAATCTGTTCTCCAAATAAAAAAGAATTTGCTTCCACAAGTTAGTCTGCTAAATGTTATCAAGTTTAGTCTATGTTACATCATTAGCACAGCTTACAAATTGTTAGGGGCCTCTCTGAACATGTTTTCCAGCAGCTCTCAAACTTCTCATCCAAACACTAGTTGTAGCTATTCTTTTATAAGCTTAAATTTCCATTATGGATGTAAGTGGAACAGCCTTTTTTTCACCTAACTCTTCATTAATAAACTGCAGAAGATGATGACAGGAAAGCAAATGCTATATCACTTAGTTGTCTGTTGCTCCTTATGTAATCACATTCTTGACATATTTCTGTTGACATTGTATGTCAGAAAATCAAAGTTTGAATGATTGCTCCCGTAGGTTGTCCTGTTAAAAATATCTCACAGCATGTATGTGCCTGAGTGTAAATTTAGTCAACCACGTTATATTTTATCCTGTTTACCTATTCTCCCTCCTATGCTCAACACCAAATGACATTTTCCTGAATTTATCTTGCTTTCTTTAAACATTTGGGCTTTTTGTCCTTGCCCCATTTTTTTTCTGCCACTGTTACATTTTCCCATAGGTGTGTCCATTTTCTTTCTCCTAATCCCTGGTATCACCATTAATAAAAGGCAAATAAATAATTGTACTATTCATCTTCAGGAGTCAGAAAGTAATTTAACATCTCCCCTTCTGTTATGCTTCAAAAACAGAAAAACTTTTTCCAGTTCATGAGAGATTTTAGTTTCTGAACACATTATGTAGTTGTGATGATGTAACGTAACTTAACATCATAAGATACAGTATAAATTTATCTATTTGAAATACCCTTTGTCTAGAAATACTATGAGACGACACCCAGAGGGTCCTGGCCCCTTCCATATAGTGCACTTTGCTGTTTCCTTACAAATGACTTTTGTTCCAGCCACTGTACAGCATAAATGGCTTACTAAGTGCTTTGGAAATTCTACAGCAGGTCCTAAATTGGTATAAACCAGAACAACTCTGCTAAAATCAATCAAGCCATGTCAATACACACTAGCTAAGCTAAACAGCTTACTGAAAAATAAAATAATTGTCATAATAGGTTCTAGTTCCTGCCAAAGAAATTAGACTTTCAAAGCTCTGCCTTTGTATCGGTTTAGGAAACCTGTTGTTTTCACAGTAGTCTCTTCCATTCCTATTCGTAGCGCTCAAGCTAAAAGTAATACCGGTAAGTTATGTGGAAAATATGTTTTAACTGTTGAATAACAACAATTAACAATTATATCTGTGTTTTAATACTGAGGTAAGAAATGCTCTCTCCAGGATAAGGAAGGCAGATACATGTTAGTACTTGTGCAAACATGTATTTCCATCTTTATGCTGAGACAATAGGATCAGCTCAACAATACTGCCATTAAAGAATGTTGTGCTGCCCTTCTTTTTCTGATGGGTTTATTTTGGGGTTTATTTTAATGAACAAACACCTGTAAGCTATAACTGGTCACTTCTCAATCAAGGCATTTTTAATTGGCTTTTTTCCTGTATGCATCACAGCAGGAGGTTGAGTTCAGGAAGTCAGTGCATAGATTAGGGCAGCAGAGAATCAGGAGAGGAGACGCTTGCTTGTAGGAGGTGTGAATAAGTGGATGGTTGAAGGCTGATATCACTGACATAGAGAAAGGTGCAGAAAAAAATGACAGGAGCAGACAGGCAGTCTTATTGCTGCCAAGGTTCTTGAAAAGAGGAACAAGAAATTTGAGGTTAGCACGAGGAGATTAAGAGAAGCAGGTAGTGAATCAATAGAGAAGGACAAGGAAGGTAGTGTTTGCCACTTAGAATAAACTGCAAATTGTGAGTCCTTTGAAACAGATCATTTGGAAAATATGTGATAGGTCTAGGTGTGCCACTGAGCTTGCACAGCATATATTTTCCCATGAAGACACCAGTCAGCTTCAACAGAGAGGTGGGAGGCTAACACTGGAAGATATTTGACCCTTTGCAGCACAGACATTTCTGTCATGTACAAAAGCTCTCCATTTCTTCTGTATTAAGGTTTACAAGTAGAGTAGGTGCCACACCAGAAAGAACTTTCCTTCTTCCCAAGCCCTCAGGAATGTAACAGAGACCTGTGAGATTAGCTGGTCTTTTTGAATGTTAATTCCCCTTCATGGGCTAAACCAGGCCTGGCTTTTTTTTAATAACTGGAGGAACACCATCTTCTTTTCCTTTGGGAAAGGAAATTGAAATGTTCTAGGGAATGATACAAAGCTAACCAAGAAAGACGGACCTCTAAAATTGTAATGGGTTTTTAACAGAGAATCTGGCATCAGGTAAGATGGGAACACAAATGGTATAACAGATGGAATGAAAACAAGGGCTTCTTTATACGGAAGTGTGTTTTAAAGAAAGGTCTTTCAGCAAATGATAGATATCTGCTGACCAGTTCTGTGGCAGTCAAACTATGCCTCACTCCAGCACTCGGGACAGAGGGTACAAGCCGACACAGGCTGTCGTTTGAGATGAGGAGCACTGAGCTCTCCCTTGAGAGAGACCCCATAGAGTAAAAGCAGCGCAGTAGATGGAACAGTCCCTCAGCCTGACCTGCTCAGGACACAGCCTAAAAGAGGTTGAAAGGTACACTGGGTCTACAGTCCCAAATACACTGATACCCAAAGTTCTCAAGTCCCTTTTAAGAGAATAAGGGATTCACTTGCCAGGGAATTGGGTCAGCCATCATTTTTCTTCTAGGTATGTGGGAGGAAGGGAAGAAGAAAGAAGGAGGGAGGGAGAGATATGCAGCTGCTAAGACCCCAGTAAATCTTTTCATGAAGTAGATATTTAGTCTCAGAGATTCTTCATTGCCTAAGCAACACTGAATCCTGCCTAGCAAGAAAGAATACAAATCCTACGTGGAGGCAGAAGCAGGATGGATTTGGAGAAGACAGCAATGGTCTATGAGGAACCAGCACTGAATGAAGGTTTTAAGAGACTTGATAGGACTTCAGAGAGGGTGAAAGGAAAAGAAAAGGCATGAGAGAGATCAGCAGAGATCACAGAGGTTGTCTGTGCAGGCCTCAGAGCACACAAAAATGTCTTCAGGTAGGAAAGGGAGGTTAATGAACTCCCACAAACTGCAAGGTCTTTGATGAGCCATAGATGGGAATGGCATTCTCTATTTGCCCTCTACCAGCCTACTCCTGCATGTAGGAGGAATATTCCAGCTAAAATGATAATCCCCCATATCCCTTTTTTCCCCCTATACTGTCCAATGTCTTTACTCACTCTTGTAAGAAGCCCCTTCTCCTTCTCCCTGAGGAGCTACTCTGCTCTTCACAGCCTTCTGGAGTTCCCCATGAGCCTGGAGCAAAGAAAGAGGCACCAAGCTGGGGCCAGACCTGCATCTGACTTGGGCAAAGGATAAAGAGAAGATGGGGAAGGGAAGGGGTGGGTTGAGAGAGGAGACCCTTGACAATTCTCAAATTATGGGACTTGCTGTTCCTGGCACCACAGGAGGGACAGGATGAGGCAGGATGGAGACTGTCAGTGGCACCCTCCTCAGCACTGTGGCAGAAGCAGCAGAGAGCTGTGCCAGGCCTGAGCAGGGACCAGCTGTGCTGAGTGCAACTATGGCACCAGCTGCCATCCCCCCTCTCATCAGCACAGACAAAGCCTGTCTCTACAGCAGCACCTCTGCAGCCTGAAGTGCAAATCTGATGTCCCTGGCAAGTGTCTTGCCCCAAAACCGGCCATGTTAGGACCTGCAAGCTGGGAAACATCACAAAATAGCAGGATGCTATGGAGCTCTGCCTACTTATTTTGATGTGAAAGATAGAAATGACCATTAGATTTAAATCATTTGGGGAAAAGCAAGTACCTTTCATACATGGGAAGGAGCAGCATTACAACTACAAGGAGATCTCTAATGTCACATTTTGTTGCAAGTGTCAGACTTCAGAATTATGAGCCACAGTTTTAGTACAGATATTACATCACTTAATTCTTACCCTGTTCTCAGAATGATACAAAAATATCGCAAGTAAGCCATGTTATTCTTCTGGTCATAAAATGTCCGTTTTGGCAATCATGAACACTGACTATATTCGAGAGATCTAAATATTAAAACACACACCAACCCACCCCCCATCACTCAAAAAAAAAAAAAAAAATCAGTCACCTGTTTACCAGAAAACTGTAGCTGCTCTTGTAACATCAGATGCTCCTCTCCATTCAATCTTGTGCTCTCCACTGAATACATTGTGGCCCAGTACAAATAGCCATTTACTGAATCCACCACTAGATCCTTCACTGGGAGCATGACATGAGCCACAACATCCATATGGCCCCCACCCAGTGATTTTCTGTATATCTAGGGACAAAAGAATTGTTTTTAGCATCATACCTTAATCATCAGCCATGATCAGTCAAGTATACAATAGTGACTTTTCCGTGGCCGTTTATCAGAAGCCTATGGAAGCTGTAGGCATTTAAAGCCTAAACCTTCTGCATTCAAAGTATAAGGATGAATAATAGCTCAAAATTATTAGTTGATTTTTACCAGAAAGTAACAAAAGAAAAAAAGCTGAAATAGCTTTTCCCTTTCGTTTTCCCAGTTTTGGCAGCCTTCTGTCTGACAGAGTTTCTCTCCCACTTCATATTCACTATTCACAAGTGTAAATGAGGGTGCAAGGCAGTGTGAAATCTGGCCTTCTAGCTCCAGTTTTTAAAACAGTTTCTGACTTTGCACTTACAAGAAATGAAAGGCATAATTTGACAGCACTGCATAAATTAGCACTACAATTTTGAAGTCAGATACCTTTTAAATAATTCACATGTCAGTGTTCCTGATATAAGAGTGTACAAAGTGCATTTGTAATTATTTTTTAACTGCAGTGATCTGCAAAATATCACAGTACAGAGGTCAATCTTGAAAATCTCAGTGTAAACAAATAGTGTCAAATTTGATTAAAATAAAGTCCATCCACTTCTTAGCTGAGATCAATTTGGTGGCCTCCATTTTCACTATCTTCTCTTATTTTTACAATGTTGAATCCAACAAAACTGTTGATAGCATGTTTGATTTGCCTTTTTTGCACCTGGTAAATTCACTATCCTGGATTAGTGAATATCAGTGAACATTTTAACCCAAACTTTTGCGTAACTCTGGAAAATCACGTGAGGAAAGAAAGGCCACCTTGTTCTACACTATCATAGCAAAGGTCTAAATGCATCTCGGGTTGCAAGAAGTAGGGGTTATCTTCCTAAATTCTGCCTTACAGTCTTTTATTGTTGACTTAATGGAGGTTTTTTCTCTTAAGAAGTGCAACTATACTTACTGTATTTGCTTTGCCAGCCCAATACAAGCATTGACCCAACCAATCAAACGCCAACATCCTTGCATCTCTGACATCAGGTACATAAGTATTCTCAGTGGTACCCTTTCTTTTGTTCAACGACCAAGTCTGAACTTCCCCCATGGAATTAATCCAATAAAGAGTATTATTATACCAATCGAGGTCTTGGAGTAAAAAAAAAAAAAGGAAGATATTAAGCATTTCACAAACATGCAAATAAACCCCTCATATTTTTTCAAGAATAAAAAGTAGCCAGACACTTCAGGTTTTTAAAAATGAATACAATTGCACAGTTAGGCTCAGCTAACATGAAGATAGATGTTTCTTTATAGGAATATAATGTACACAAATAGTACATGATGACTGTAAAGCCCTGATGACTGTAAATGTATGATAAGCATATACTGGGATGCTGAAGACATAACTATTTAGGTCAGAGAGTTGATTTTAGCTCTGCTGTAACTGTGGTGATGTCAGTAGGGTTTCACTAGGGATTCATTTGACTCATAAAATAGAAGAAGATGAGCACAAAGGCTTGGCTCAATGAAGCTGCTGCACTGCACTGTACTGCACTACATTCAAGACTAGACTGCTGCAATAAGAACTCTTGTCTTTCAATTCTGCTGATGAAATTTATGGAAACCTAATAAATTCCAACAAGTCTGTAGCAGCAGCATGCACCTTGTTTAGTATTCACCTGAAATGTTTCCTATATGAGGATAGAGGAGTTCTCCTGGCCCATAACTATCCAATCGCTGCTTCCAGAGACCTTCAGGCCCCACTGCCAAAATATATGGATCTTCTTCAGCTGATAAAGAAAGAAAATAGCAGTTCTGCACACTAAGAAGAAATTTAGGTATAATATTTGTATTTCAGTAACAGGGGTTCTTGTTTCTGGAAAGTTACAAAAGCACCCTTAACACTTATTCCTCAGGAATAATGGACAAAGAAACGCATGAAAATATCATAATTTGTCAAACTCAGAAGTTAAGGGCAGGTTTAAATGCAGAACAATAAGGCATTCTGAAATCCTATTAGATGCTTAAAAACCACTGTGTGTTTTGACCTCGCCTTACCAAAGTCAGGTAAAAGTCACCCCTGATCTTAAGAGCCAGTCCAGCACCTTAAGCTGAAAGGTGTTTTCCCCTCAGACATAGGTTATTATGGGTGAACAAGGTTTCAAACAACATTCCAAAGACCTACAAATCTCAGACATTTCACACACATGCATTTCCTCTCATTATCTATGCTCAAACCAAGGATTTTCAGCATTTAGTGAGCTGCACTTTTCCATGATCTGTCATTAACCCCCAAGTGTGCAACCCACTTCATCACAGAAAGTTCTTTACAGAGCACAGGAAAGGAATAACACCTCTCACACTATTCATTTGATAATGTATCAAATACTGTGTTTGATAGTGTATTTGCATTAGAAAAATGTAGATAAGTAGCAATAATAAATGCATAAATGATATTTAATGCCATTATACTGGTTTAAGAATCTCACTGCTTTGACTAAAAGCAAATTTATTTATCCTGTGTTCTTTAATGTTTGTAAGACAAACCTTTCTGTGTCCCTTATTTTGCGGTCTTTGCTCAGAGTCTGGACCTCACCAGGTGGACATCTGTATACGCAACTCATTCTTCATTTTTCCTATGTGACAAAGTAATTCTCACCTTCTTCCAAAGTTGTGCCTCTAAATGACTCTGACCACGGCCCTGCACCAGCAGGAGACACAGCTCTAACTGACACTTCATACACCCTGAAGCTGGTCAGACCCTTCACTGTGAGCCTCGTTTTACTAATATTCGAGACAACCCATTTCTCCTCAAACGGGTGTTGAGGTGACACTTTCACATCATAGGTCCATTTCTGCCAAGCAGATAAACCTGTGAGAAGCAAATAATCATGTTATTACAGAATAGATGGTTGCAACAGATGATATACATTCTTTGAGAAAACTGTATATTGGAGACTTTTTTCAAAAATGCCAGTATCAGGGGAATTGGGAGATGGATAAATTAAAAACGTACACTCTTCATCTCTGGGACCAACCAAGACTGGTGGTATAATCTGCCACGAAGGATGAAGTTGGAAGAACCAAAATTTTCCCAAACCAGGCAATTTTTTGCTGGTTCTATACTCATACACAGAGGAGAGAAACCATACCACAGTCAGTGATCAAAAGTCATTACATCTCTGGTATACATGTTCTGTGTGATATCAGCAACCATACCATTCTTAAGATGAAGCCTTGCTTAAAATCCTTGGAGGGGACAAATGAGTTACCAACATACACTTGTATCAATTTAGACAGTCAGTTTGGTTGTTCTATTGGCAAATTACGGCTTACATTTTTCAAACTGAAGTAATTCCACAACTTTTATGAGGACCTGCTATTTAAGTCAGTAAAGCTCAAATCAAGAAAAGGGAAACCAGAAAGTTATTCTTCTATAAAGAAAAGGAGTGAGGAGTGGACTTTCAGAGAGAAACAACTGAACTTACTGGTTCCAATACTGTGTTCAGGTGGTCTCCAGCTGATCACAGCTTGGTCCAATCCAAATAACACCATGACAAGACGAGGTGTAGTTGGTAAAGGAAAAGGTTGAGCTGATGCCCCATAGAAAATCAAGTTGCCAAAGCCAAAGTATTCTGGATACACCAAACTGCAATCCACAGTATACTCATTGAAGCTAGAACTTCCTGGAGAGACCTCCTCGTGGAAAACCGCAGAGCCATCTGTGACTGTAAATGTGTTATCCTCATAAACAAAGCTCTCCACATCATTAAATGGCACTTGTGATCGCAGTATGTGAAATTCTGAACCATCAAGAAAACCTGACACAAAGGCACGTTCTGTTTTGTTGAAGAAAATGAGTCTCTTAGATTGGAAGTTGATCATGAAGGTTCTCAGAGAACTGGATCTCACTACTGGTGAAGCTGTGGAGGCAGTGCCAGGAAAGAGTGGAAGGTTTGCTCTGTATATGCCATCCTCCAGGAGACAGAAAATATAACTGGCCATGGAGCAAAATAAACCCAAATAACTGCAGTGCAAGCACTTTGTAAGTGACACACAAATATTTTAATAGCTCAGACATGTGCCTGTCTTTATGCGTATCAGGAAAATGCTTTTGCTTGTATTAATATATAAATACTATACTGCAAGAAGTAAGCACATAAATTTTTACTTTCTGGGAATTTTAATAGCAGATTATTGGGGAATATTCTTCCATAATTCTTCAAGTGTTAAGCATGAACATCTAAAATGCATAGAGATTCATATCCATAAAAGCATGAAATTTCTGAACCCCAAACTTCTGTGCTGGAAATGCTTTATCTCCTCTGCTAACATCCTAAGAAAGAGAGTGTAGAAAACAACACTGCATGGCACCACTCTTGTTCCACTTGTTTCGTAGTTTCCTATTTGTTACCAATCGCACTTCTGTTTTGCTAATGCAAATGCTTAGAACAGGAACCTAGATGACTAATGAAGTGGAGAAATTTAGAGAGGAGCTTTATAGCACCTTTGACACCAAGTGCTCAAAGGAGGACACTTACCCATTATAGGGATCAGCTATAACCTTCCTAGGAGATGTCACATAAAGAGGAGTGATGTCTTCAGCTACCGTGCAGTTCTCTAAATGGCAGACATGTATCTGGCAAATGAGAAGAAAAACTGGTGATGCTTTCATAGGGTGTTTGCTAATGAGCAAACAAGCTGACCCAAGATTCCTTCAGGGGAATCAGGCAATGAAATGGCTCTTTCACAGTCCTGGGTCCTTCTGGGCTCCTGAGTTGTCAGTCAGCCAAATATAACACTTGTACACAAGCACAAATGCAGCCATGACAGCTTACCCTGAAAGAGCTGTCTGTCAGTCATCTTCTCTTTCCACCTCTAAGCTGGAGGGAAAAGCCCAATTTTGACAGTCTAGGCAAACTATGCTTGGAAAATGATCTGGCAGGGAAGGGAAGTGCTTTTCTGCTTCTGGAAGCAATAGCTTGGGATTCAGAACTCTCTGCCATCAGTCTGTTCATCTGCAGCTCAGTTGTATCTTTTTATCACTACTGCTTTTCCTGCTCCTTGTTCCCTGAGCAGTGAGCAAAAAATCAAACATGCCAAGAGGATTACAAAAAAAAAAAAAAAAAACACTAACCATTTAGGTTAGTTTCTAGTCCTTTGTGCATTAGGAGACTACGTAAGTACATGCAGTCTCTTACCATTAATGTAGTTGATGTTTTATGAGTAGGAAATCAAGTGCAGGATTGCCATCTCCATTTTTACCTCAGATTGAAGCAGTTGTAACCAGAGCTGTCATCACTGTATGAAACACTTCCCTCTTAAACATCTATTGTCAATTTTGAAGGGCATTATAATCACTAACTAGTTATCTGACCACCTTCCTGAGGCAGAGTAGGAACCGAACAGACTAGATGGGAGCCAAGTGGAGAAACACAGTGCCTATATTGGGTATGAGGAAGGCGTGAAGTGAGTCTCAAAAACAAAGCAGTTAAAACTAAAACAGTTATGTCCTAAGGAGAAAAATAAGACACAGAGCCAGAGTTCCACGTAGAGGGTTTACTTTAAATATGACCTGATACTCAAGCCTTCCTTATTTTTTAAATTATTAAATATGTGGATATTATTGAGGTTAAAAATGTATTTCCATAAGTATATTTTGTGCATACATATCTACATATAAACCGCATTTTCTTGTGTAAAATGAATCACAGTAGTGGTTCAAATTAAGTAAAAAATTGAGTAAGCTCTAGAGCATTACCTTTTCATTCATGACAAAGTACATTCTGTGGTAGAGCCAGTCTACTGAGATGGACGTAATATTCCCCCAGCCAGCATAAAAGAGCATCAGGTCAGATACATCAGACATATTTGCAACTCCTTTCACCCAGATGGAATTCCCCTCAGAAAAATAGACAACTTGCTGATAAATATTCACAGAAATTCCTAAAAATAGAAAGATATGTGCACACAGATAATATAAGAAATAAATCATATTTTCAACTAATATTTCTACTTGCCTTAAAAATATGTATTTTTCAATCTGCAACTTGTCATCACAGGAGAAAAGTTAACTGGTTTTCTCCTCTGCTTCTCGTCTTCTTTAAGGTAATAAGGAAACTTTCCCATTTGCTATGTAAATGACATTATTATAGAGAATTGCCCTTCAGAAAGGTAATCAGACAAAGAGAAGATATGTAATATGCAAACCAACACTGATTGCCCCTCTATAGGGCACACAGATGCAATTGGCATCACCTCACAAAGTACCATTCACTCTAACAGTCAAGCTTGACATAATCTGTGCCACCCCTGCACTGTCAAAGGCTATTTAGTCAGGGGTAACATTTTTTTCTCTGGAGTCTTTGGCTCTGTGGAATTTGGTAAACACAGATTTCCACACTGTCACCAAGCAGCAGTGTAGATAAGAAACACCAGAGTTGTGAGGAACTTGAGATAACAAGGTTGTCTGGTGACTTGGGTTACTAAATCCCTCATTAGTATGCTAACACATCAGCCAGCACCTTTTAGCACTTGGTATTATTTTATTCTGAAGTTTGAAGCACATCCCCATATTCATGTTGAGAAAATATAGACATTAAACATGCATTCATGTTACCTCAGTTTAGATACCTACAGTGTAAAAGTCTCTCTCTGAAGCAGCTGCCTAAATACAGTGAAGAAAAAGTTGCACTGGGGAGAACAATTCATCTCTTCCCAATGCCTGTCACTTCAAATAGGTCTAATCATATCCTGAAAGTTCCTGTGATAGGTACTGTCTCCTGCTATAAAAGGAGGATAGGTACTGTCTCAGGCTATGTGAGGTGCCTTCTGTCCCTGGTGAACACAGAGGTCTTAGACACGCTTGACAGAAAAGGAGAGACCCAGTCAGATTTTACCTGTAATGTGGTGGTGTATAATATCGTCTGGCAGGCACTGAGCAGCTGCAAGGAAATATTCTGTGTATCTCTTCCTCAAAGACTCTTTTCTGGATAGGAAGAGCCATGTTGCTTTTTCCTTAACTAAAAAACAGTGAAACTCAGAATTTAGATGACTGCAGCACAGAGAATAATGTTGCTGGCTCAGATACATCATCAATAGGCACGCACATACACGTGTACACATATGTACATGTATGAATATATTCTTACACTGGAATGACAGACTAAAACCTAAACTCTCTGAGTGTCAAAAGCATACAGAGTTATTATACAGTGTCTTCTGTCTCCTCACACAGGATGACAATGCACCACATGAATTTCACACCATCATTTCCTGCAACAATAGCAAGTCCCTAGTGAGAAAAAGTAAGCTGGAGCAAATAAAGCCCTACTGACTCCTGAGGAAATGAAGGCACTAAAACATCCATGTGACACCAGGATCCAGCAGAATTGGGATATTTAACCCCTCTGGACTGCTTTGAAAACCCGAATGAAACCAGAATATTATCTTACAGAGCTGAGGAAAAGCAAGTCAATTATGTTTATTTCATATGTTTCATCCTGTTGAGAAGTAATTTATTCAAGAAACAAGTAGCTTTCACAGATGAAGATGATAATTGGATAGCATCATCTGCTTCAAACTTGATAAATTTAATTTTTTTTTTTCTAATAAAGTCACAGAATTTAAAGTCAAGGAGGAGAGATTTGGTCACATAAGCTGACATCATGCCTATAAAGGTCCAAGTAACTTACATCAAAACCTCTGCAGTAAATCCATACCTTCTGTCTGGGCTATGCATAACTCTGAGAAAGACAGATTACCTTGCTTCTGAATCTCAGATCCTTGAAAATCTATCACAAACCCTGCTAAATTGATTCACAAGGTAGTTACCTTCATTTTTAAAAGTGGTGTATTATTTCAAGTATGAATTTGGCTGATTTCCATTGCCAAATCATACTTTCTTTTTTTTTTTTCTCCAGTTTAAACAGCTGTCTGCTATCAGATTTCATTTCCTCATATGAGTATCACAAAACTGTGATTAAATGTTGTCTTCATTTATTCCCAAATAATCTGCATAGATTGAGCTGCATGTATTTCTCACATGATTACACACTGTAATTTTGATAATGATGCCTCCAGAGCAGAGTACAACAGGGCAATATTACATCCTCATCTCTTTTCAAGTAACATTTCTCGCAACCTACACCAGCAATCAAATTCTTTTGCTGACTCTTTCTGGGGCTCAGATCTACACAGCTCAGTACCTGATGCAGTAACACCATTTCTGAACACGACACATGAGGAAGGGTTGCTCCTGCTCAATGTTAGCACAGGGAGAGTAAACACATGCCTGTGCAATTCAGTGGGAAACAACCGAAACTGTATGTGATGACTAGTAAGGGGAGGCGGAGTGGTTCCTCATCCCCATAAAGTTTTTTTTTGGGGGAAAGGGTTGTTTGTTTGTTTTCTACCTTAAATTAATTGCTTGGTAATTGTATTACCATAATGAATGAACATGGCCTGGACTTTTCACAAATGACACAAACATTTATGGCTCAGGGTCAGCCAACCCGAGAGCAAACCTCCATGGAGTCACTAAGTAAGGATATATCAGTGTCTGAACTGTTATTTAAAAAAAAAAAAAAAAAAAACCGCACACTAGAGAAATAAGTTCAATTTCTCTAACCAATAGCAGAAGACTGGAGATTCAGAGACAGTTTTGAAGTGCTTTCATAGAGAGGAAGTATTTCCAGGTGTTTGAAAAGTGAATTTCTTCCAGAGGAGAGCAGTCTCCTTTGTTTTCTTTTGGTAACACTGATTTCATTCTTACTTGCACTCTATCTCAAAGTGTACCTTTCTCTGGCAATTAATTAATTAATATTTCTGCACTTCTTTGAGAGATGCCTACAGTGTATCATTATTTTCAATATTAATTAGTTCATATAGCAAAATAAACACCTTCATGAAAGAGTAACAAAAATTGATATGATCTCACATATTTGGCTTGAGACAACTGAGGAGTTTTGACAGAAGAGTTTCAAGTTAAGTATTTAATACTATTAGAAGAAATACATTTGTTTGTGAGCTGTTAAAATCTCATGTGGAAAACAGAATCATGTTTTTTTCAGTCACCACCCCAGACCACTGAAGTGTTTTTCATCTGTAATACAACTCAGGCCAAATCTGTTTGGGCCTGCCAGCTTCACAGGTCATTACTATGCTGTGTAGCCTAATACTGTCTACAGCTACAGAACAGGACTCTCCCTGAAATGTTATTGACTTGTCAGCATACAATTCCTTGACATACATTGGTTACAGTCTAAATATTAGTCTCTTCTCCCAGGTACATGACAGGCCAATGAACATGAGTTTGTCCCCACGAACAGACAGTGGTAAGTACTCTTGTACCTTTGGATGCTGGAGTTGTGATGTTGGCTTCGGCAGGGGGTCCAGCACCAACCTCATTAACTGCCACAATACTGAACCTATGGTAAACCAAAGAGACAGGTTTTGGTTTGCAGGTTTCTTTCGTAAGATTGCCTGGGAAACATTTTATCAAGTAGGGAAGCTGCTACATAAGTGTTTGACTTTTAGAAAATGCCCATTTAAATGCTCTGGGAAATTTATAATAAGAACAAAACCAACAAAAACTGAATTGCCCAAAGGTGAAACAACAACAGAATATTCTAAATTTAAATTCAAAATAAGTTTGCAGACTCAGAAGAACAACTCAATTTCATTTCAAAGGAAGAACCGTATTTACCAGTGCCACCAGAATGCAGATTTTCGTGTTTAATAAAAACAAAGGAATTTTTCACAATTCTTAAAGCACTAGAGAGGACTGCTGTATCATTTCCTGAATATACTAAGAACGTGCCACACAAACTTAAAAAAATTAAAAACAACAGCTAAGAAAATACTGCCTTCTGATGCTATATCAAGTTGCTTTTCCTTCCTCCCCATCTGACTTTTGCACAAGCAGCCAACTTACCTGGGGTAACTCTGTTACCTCAAGGAAAGCAACCCTGATTTTGGCAAGAACATAAGTAAAGAGCATAATTGTGAAGAAGTGGTATTGAGGAATACTCTGTGGGCAAGAAGTGTGACAGCACACTTGGCCACGTCGTTGTCTTTTATTTTGGTACCTGTAAGTGGTGTTTGGGAAGGTGGAGTAGAACTGAAAGCTGTGCCCCCTTGAGGCTCTTAACAATTCATGGTTTGCACTGGTCAGGAGCAAGTTGTATCCAATAATCAATCCATTTGGAAAAAGTGGTGGAGACCAACTAACTTCAACAGTGTTTGGACTTGAACTCTGAATATCTTTAATGACAGGAGCTGTTGCAGGAGCTGCAAGAGATAGAAATATCTGACTCTGGTATGGCATTTAAGACATTAATGGGTTTTGGGGTTTTTTAAGTACATTTTTAGGTTTCCTACTTTGTAATTCATTTATACACCAATAAACATTATTGGGGACAGCATAAAACTTCAGCAACAATTAACTTTTTTTAATGTCCAGGAAAACAGGTGTGTGTTTCAGTCAAGAATTTAGCCTGCATAATTATACACAGAAGTGCCCAATGTGCCCTCACAATTTTCAACATGTAATTTTCTGTGCTTGCTTTTTGTGCAGGCAGGAGCCCTACTTCAAACAAAAAGAACCTGGGATATTCTAGTTTGGTCTTCTGCAGCTACCCAATAGACAACCCAATAGACATCATTCTAAAGATTAGACATCAATGTTTTCTGTAAAAGAAATAACAATGAAACCTAAATGTTTCTGTTAAGGTCCTGAAAGACTTAATCAGTAGCACAATTCATTACCTCCAAAAGCACGTGTCCGGTAGCTGGGACTAGATGGAGAATGGAGCTGCAGCTGAGATGTAATGATCCAAACTACTCGAAACACATATTCTGTGAAGGCTTGAAGGTCTTTGACTGTATATGAAGTTTCAGAGATTACCTACAGTAATACACAGACACAATTGGATTTTTTGCCTTCCTCCATCTGCAGCTACTATATAGGATGCTATCAGGGCAAAAGAGGTCTCATACAGCAACATACATATTTCAGGATAAAAAAGTGCAGCATCCTAAGTTTAAATAAGAGGAAACTCTGGGAGTTATTTTCCTCATAGACTTTGATTTTCAATCTTTTCAGAACTTTTTGTCTTCTCTTTTCTTTAGAACACATGACCAAATCTAAACAATGAGCAGATGGAAGAAAGGATGGATGTAATGTAACAGTAAATTTTAAGAAGGTAGTAAAAAAAAAAGCTAAAATAATAACTTATTATAAGCCATGTATGTTAAACTGCTGATACATAGACTACAGTTGTAAGATCCACAGGCTCCTAGCTACACTGAAATATTTATTGTCTGAAGTAATTGTTCCCTATTATTTCATCAATGATTCATTCAGAAGAACTTCCTGCTTAGCAAATTATCTTTACCTTTGATTTGCAGCAGTAACTTGTCATGTTCTGTAAATTGGTCCAATAGAGATGATGGCAAGATAACAAGTGTGTAGTTGACGCAAAAGAACATAATATGAGAATAACCGTACTGAGTCAGAAAAAAGGTCTTTCTAGCCAAGTATTGTGCTTTGACAAGAACTAAATAAATTTCCCTAGGGAAAGGTGTTAAAAAAAAAAAAAAAAAAAAAAGGAAAAAGAAAAGAAAGCCAACTGCAGTATTTCTCTTGAATATTCTCAGTCTTGGTATTTTGTAAGCGTGGCTCAACACGAACCTATGGGAATGTTTACATTTAATAGAACTCAGTATTTTCATCCACTAATTTTTCTAGTCACTTTTCAAGCCCTATTTAGTAATTTTAGCAATTTTAATATTAAGGAGTTTATAGTAATTTAACATCCACATGTGCCAGGAAACAGTTGAACATTTTAGCTACACATTCTGTGAGAAGAGACCTTCAGTTGATAGTTTTGAACCTGCTACCTGCTAGTTTACATCAAGTTCCCTAGTTCCTATGTTGAAGGAAATGGGCAATAATTGACCACTCTTCAGCTTCTTCATGCTACTCATGATTTTGCAAACCTCTTTTATTACCTAACATATTATCCAATATTTAAAAAAAAAAAAAAAAAAAAAGACAGAGAAGAACCTATTTCCTTGCAAAGTGTCCTTCTTACCTCTGTGTACCTCCAGTCTCCAGGGAGCTGACTGTACTTCCACTGGATAATATATTTCACCCCAGAGATATTAGCTGGCTTCCACCCTAATGTGACACTGTGGCTTCCAATGGCAGATGCAAATGGTGCTCTAGGCTTGTTCAAGTAGTCTGAGGGGAAAATAAAATGCAATGGTAAGAAAAAAATCTTTTATGGTAATCTCTGTGTCTCAAAGGTAAAAGCCTATTACCCCACACACCTGAAAGCAGTGAAGCCAATAAAAGCACACAAAAGAATATATTGAAAATGTTGCTGAATAAATCCCATAACATTTTAAAGACAGTTTCATAAGTAAGCCTGCAATGGGCCAAGTTCAACATGAGCAAATGTGACTACAACTCTGCACTTATGTAAATGTACTTTTAGTTACAGGTACTTAGTAAAATTTTACTGAATAGAAACCTAGAGAAGGTGTGGGAGGCCTCTGAAGAGATTTTCAAGGGAATTATTTCATTAGCCCTACATCAGCCATCTTAAACATCATCTTAAACAGCTGAGATCGGACTCAAAATTCTCATGTCCATGAAAGGGAGCGGAAAAAAAGCTTTACTCTAAGATAAAACCTCAGTGTATTTGTTAAAGGAAAGAAGAGTGATAATATTCTGATTAATGAAAATACTCCAGTCCTCCCTATTTTTTAAAGAAACCCAGATCATAGAACAAGACTATAATCTTAAAAATTAATTTATCAGACTGTCAGTTGGACAGAGGACTCTATTCAGACTTACTTTGTGCTTCAGCTCCATATGCATCCTCTGCACGGCTGCAGCCAAACTTACAGGAAATTGTCTGTGTAGGGTACAGAACTCACTGGTTAGCTTTGTGTAAAGGCAAACTTCCTTCCAGAATCATACAGACACATTTTAAATACATACAAATTCTGTGGGCATTTTACACATATACAGGCCCTGCGAAAATCATTATATTCACTCTAAAAGACAGCAGTACCATGAACTCACTCCAAGGATTTTACTGAGAGCCTTTTTGTCAATTCACTAGGCACTGAATTAAGGGTTACCTCCTTACACATTTTCCCTTTGTGGAAAGCACGAATATGGGGCTACAATAAAGTTGGAAATAGACTTCAGAGATAACCATGGAACTTAAGGAAGGTTTTTGACTTGTTAGTGATGTATTCCACATGCTGGATTTCACCCTTTACCGCTTCAAGTATTCCTTATGAATGAGGTGCATTCTTACAGATGTACTTCCAGTGAATTTTCAAAATAGCCTGAAATTAGCAATTTGTAAGAGCAGTCATGCCTAATTCACACTTCCTTTTCAGTAGTTACTCCTTCTGGTACAGTTGTGTCTACAAGCTACAAACATAAATCCAAGGGCAGTGAGCTCCACATTCATGTCCTAAGAACAGAAAATTCCTGACTTTTCAGTTTAGGTAGGGAACATAGATATAGTATTACAGTGCATTATAGGTAAAGAACAGGTAGAAACATGTTCCAGGTGGGTTTCAATAGCTTTAAAATTACATTCTAGAGTCTCCTGGAAATCCAAAACTTTTGAGAAGTGGTGGTTTGAGTTTTTCTAGGCAGGTGTTTCATTTGGGCTCATTTTATTCTTTAAGTTCAGCTGGCCTATAAAATCTTGAAGTTTGCTTTACAGCAGCCACCTTTCAAGTGATAATTAACCTTTAGATCATTAACAAGCAATTCATTATGGTAAGTGAGGAAAATTCTTAACTGCTCTTCCTATGATTTGAGGATACACACTTCTGGCACCTTCTGGAAACCGAAAAGACATGTTATTTCAGACAGCACAGTTGCAGCTGAGACAGATTTGAAAACTTGCTTAGCAATATCCTCCTATATACAATATCTCACATGTAGACATTCAGTGCTGAGTGCAAGCACTTAAAAATTTTTATCCAGTGTTTTCATACTCAGAGAAATGAAATTAAATACTTCCACATGATTTATCATAACTGTTAGCAGCCAAAGATCTGAGTATTAACAGATATCAGTTATCAGCTGTACACTGGAGCTTTCATTTACAGCCAATATTTGTTTAGTTGTAGAGGATTGTGTTCTCAGATTACATACTGATTCATAGTGCCTTCTGCTTCATTTAACACAGACATTTCTGAGTATTTGTTTTATTGTGTTATTCTTTCCTTTGATTTTTTCTGAACTTGAACCATAAGCCAAATTTTTGGTTGAGGTAAGAGGATTGCAAAAGCTCCTAGCCTTGGAAATTTGGAGGAAAATTTGTCATATCTTCTACCTGAAAACGATAAATCCTCATATATTCTCCATTCATCAGAAATGCCCTTGTATGAGCCAGAGTATGCTGTCCTTTCCTGTGAATATTCCTGCCAAATTCAGTGGCGCACTCCTGCTTCCAGGTGAAAGGAGAAATACTACCAGATTTCAGTCCCAAGGTGTAGTCACACAGCAGAATTGAGTTAATGTCAAAGGAAAAGTCTTACTCCCACTCCTTTGCTCTGCAGACTGCAATGACCTGATCCTCTTTGTGTAGTGACATGACGCACACCTGACCAGGTGGATAGTCAAGTCAATCAACTGATCCAGTGGAAAGATAATCCCAAAAAAAACCCTTGCAGTGACAGTGAATTTAACTGGTATATTACATGACTAGACAAGGAAAAAAAAAAAAAAACACAACAAAAAACCTCAAACCCAAAAGCAACAAAACCCCCTCACTAACCTCGTGTTTTTACAAAAGTAAGTTGGTTACTTCATGGACAGTTTCTAGACTACAAAACCACTGTTTAATGCATTAGTAAAACTTTTTTATGGTAACAATTTGATAGATTAAAAAGCATTTAAAAAATAAAAAATAATCCTTTCAGTCAAATGTCCAGGTTGCCAATGGGTTTGTATTCTACTCAAGACTCTCTCCAGCTCCTCCATCACCTGCTTGAAGTGTGTTGCCCCTGACCAGTACCAAACACAATCCTGCAATCATCTCATCCTTATCCTATCTCATCTTGCACTCTATGTTCATGAGGAAAGGTCCCCAGAAAGGCGCTGTCTCTTTAAAAGCACTTTGTTGACCCACTTATCTTTTGTCTTCTAGCTCCCGCTCCTTGTTTCCACTTCCTACGAAGCTGGTATCAGACAAACCTTATCAAGCATTCTCTCTGGATAGTCTTTGATGGCACTAATGAAAAATTGGATGAACAAGACTCTGGTGAGAGCCTAAAACATAGTTTAAATAAGTCTGTACTGAGTTTCACAACGCTGAGATTAGTCTGCTTTTGTTACAGCAATGCTCTTTTCCATACAGCAGTGTTTAACACAAGCATACCCTTAGCCACCATGCTGAAAAGAAAGGATTCAGGTGCTTAACTCACCTTCAGAAGTATAAAAAAAATTAGACCTGAATTGACAAGTTTGTGTATCTACATTGGTTTTCTTAGCACCATGTGGACACAGTAATAACTGAAATTGTGATTTTCTTTTTTTTTTTACTGCTCTGATAGCATTTAACTTACCTCACATGCTCTGGTGTATGTCTCATTCTGCCAAGAAACAAATTAATAAAATATGGGATTAGTATAAATACAATCACAGAGTATTTCAAACAGATAATGCCAATTAATTAGAAGTTGCTTAAAGGGAAAGTACACTACAAAACCACTGGCAAATAATGAAAGAAGAAAAACCCACACTTGAAAAATCAGAAAGTCAACACTATAACGATGCTAAGGATGAATGAGATTTAGGTGTTCAAGAGGTCCAGGAAAAAAGAGCATTTTAAAAATTATCATGACAGTTGTCCCAGACCAGTGCTAGCTCTCATCCATCTGGTTTAGTAAAATCAAGAAATCAATTTACTAAAGACCATGTGCTTCATTTACATTTGCATGCAACTCTGAGACAGTCCCTGATAGAGTAAAATCCTGAAAAGCTCTAGTTCTTTCTCACTGTCTAAAAATCTGGGTGAGTGGTTGAGTTTAATGATCTGTAAAATGCCCACACATTTTACTAAGCATAATGAAAACTTTTGATATTACAGGCAACTTGCATAGCAAGAAGTAGTAGTTTCCCAAAACAGAATTTATGAACAAACTGAGATACAATACGGACATTACATCTTTTCATAGAATCACTGCTCTGAGCAGATTCCAAATGTCTGTCATTGGATAAGCCATTTGATGGACTGGAGACAAGTGCTATAGAGTTAAGGCTAAGGCAATACTCACACATTTCAGTGGACAATTGATTTGCACCATTGCATTCCAAAACTGACATCCCTGTGTGCACTGCAAAGACAGAGGATGGCTTTAAAAATGACTTTGAAAGCACATTTTTAAAGAGAAGGGATACTCCAGCTCTAATGATGAGGATATTTGTTCAGTTTTCAGCTGCAGTACAACATTCTGCATGACCAAGTCCCTTATCTCCTTCATGACCTGGTTCTTTAGCAATAAAATAGATATTTATAGCACTTAGACTCTGTAAAAAAATATATTAAATACATCAAACATTATAGGTTCTCAGATCTTACTATAAGAGAATTATCTTGTATAGTGCCATTCTCAGTGTAAAACCAAATACAGTGAAAAGGGGGAAAAAAAGAAGATGTTTAATTGCCTGGACAGCTCTGGTAAAGGCTGTGAGACTCTCACTTGGATTGAGAGCTCTTAAAGGATAGCAGGACATGTGAGCAGACTGTGACTATCACCTGAGGAGAGTGCTTAGCTTTACATAGGCCTTGGGAAAGGGCTGATACACAGCTCCAGGGGCAAGCCCCCCACCCCCACTCTCCAATAGGCAAGCCACCGGCTTTAAAACCATGTGTTTTCAAAAATGAAATAAATATTACATGGTTCAGGTTTTATGTTGGACTTTTCTTGTTTCTTCTGTCACACTTCTTGATGCTCATGAAGGTTTTTCTTTTAAAAGGTAAGATGGAACAACTTTAGAAGCAGAAGAATCTGATATTGAGTATTGCAAAGCCTCATGAAAAAAAAAAATTAAGACTTGGTAACACTGAGCAAAGATAATTGTAACCTAAACAGGAGAGTCAACCTTGCTATGTACTGTCATGACAACACAGACTTTTATGGTCCCAGCATCATAAATGACCCAGCCTCACTAGATACCAGGTGCTGAGAGGCTGCTTCCCACCAGTCTCTGCAGAAGATATTGATGACTGAATTGTCCAGCACTCTTCAAGGAATATGTATAACCACCAGCTTGAATTGCAAAGAAAACAACAGCTATGGATGTATGGAAAGCTCCTATGGAAAGTTCGTGTTAAGCTGAAGATCTCCCATTTGAAGTCCTAGGAAACTATAAATGTTCAATAATTGCAATAATAAGTTTTCTCCCATTGAATCAAAAAACTGTATGTAGGAAAATAAATAAGACAGTCTTACTGACACACATTGTGCTAGTAAAACCCATGTCAACTTCTTGTCTCAAAAACGAGAGACTGTGAACTTTCTAGATCACAACCTTGACCATGACTCACAGTAGAGATCCACACCCTTTTCAAATTTTCTTTAAACAAAAGAGATAGCCATGTCTCTAGTAATGTGTGCCAAATCTAACCACACAATCTAGTGACTTATACTAGACAAGCAACTGTGCACATTTACTTTGACAATATGATCATTGTACCCATTATACTCAAATAACAGTAATATAAAATGTCTTTAAACAACAAAGTAAATCATTACTCACAGCTCCAGCAATGTCACTAACATTACAGAGGTTATTAATTCCAAATTCTCCTTCCTATAAGAGAAATACAGACATTTTTAAAAAAGAGTCAGAATATTTCCCCAAAATTCTTTGATTAAGTATAATAAAGCATTGGTTTCTTGTAAAACAGATTTTCTTTGACTGATTTTCCTCATCCGGAGAAATTTATTGTTGACACACTTCTCACTTGAGTCTAATGTCAGAGTACCCTCAGAGACATAGAGGAATCAGTTGGTGTTAATTAAATTAGCTCAGGTAGGAGTTTGGCTCTTATCTCCTGATTCTGGTTCACTGAGTCAATAACAAATGCTTCACAAATATGCTGGGCTTAAATGACAAAGCCAAGTGGCTTTGGCCCTGCAAGCAGAAAGACCTTCCTTCAAGCTAAATGCCTTTTGTCTGGCCACCTTTTGAAGCGTTTTACCCAGTCACACGGTGACCTCCACCATCCTTCCTCTTCTGCCAAAAGTGCTCTCCAGCTAATGCACCTGGCTTTTTTTATGTAATTCAAAGTGTGCAAAACCAATCACTGTTGGTGAAGTTCAAATGAAGATGTACGCAACTACCTTAGAGAAGCTTAGCTCTTAAGTTTAGACCTGAAAACAGGTAAGAGAAGCTTTAATAAAACAACTCTCAGAAAGAAATTTTCAGCACAACTAGGCACATTGTGACAATCCTAAGTTTCACAAAGCAAATTTGAACACAAGTAGACTGCAGGAGTAAAATAAGATTTACATCTCTCAGACTCTAAAATTACATTTTCCTCATCTGAATGCCTTACTCAATACGTTCACTGAACATGAATGTGATTTTCCTGTCTTTCAAAGCTGAAAGGAAGAGCAACTTACTTCTTATTCTGAATTAATTTAAGCTTAAGTCAAAGGATCCCCATTAAAGGTATCACTGCATGATAGGCTTCCATCAGGGAAGGCAATTAACTCTTTCACCGATGCTAAAGTTAGAACTAGTTTTAAAGGAACTGTCAGGAAAATGTGTGAAATAAAATGGAGTAGGTGATAGTCCTCTGCAGCAGGTTTCCACAGTTAGTGTGAAGGCACAAAATGTCCTTTTTATAAAGCAAAGATACATGATCCTCTAAATCACATCAACATTTCAGGCAAATAGAAGCAAGGAGGTAATTCCTGAAAGCAGAATTATTGTTTGGATTTGAGAGGTTTTGCTAATCTTTGTTCTGCATTTGTAGAAGGAAATATAATGAATTCCATGCTACTGTTCAAAGGAACATTAAAAAAGCATAGGACTAAGGATCTGACCACTAATTTTAATACTGAGATAAACATCCCCAATTTAAGCAAATTAACTTGAAAATTAAGCTACAACCAGTTTGGTATAGTTGTGCAAGCCACAGATTCCCAGACAATTTCTTGTGAATTTACAGTTTTCCTAGGTTTATAAAAAAAGTCCTGGATTAGACAGAAACTAATTAATAAAGTGAATAAATAAAGAAAAAAAGTTTAGCTCCCCCACCTTCCAGGATCTTTAGCATTCATAGTAATTTCATTCAATCAGATCAGTAGGATTTCTTCTTTACCAGGTTCCAAATATTCAAATGTCAAACATTCGCTTTAACTAGAATACATTCTTTAAAATAATTTTGGAAGAGCTGATATGTAACATAAAGTGATAAAAACCATCTGTGTTTCAAAAGATTAGGTGCAGTTTTTGAAAACTTACCAGGATACTTGTACATAAGTTCTGACAATTCCTCGAGAAAGTACAGTACACTGCAGAAATCCATAGACTGTAAAAAAATAAAAGTCTGTTTAGCAGGAAAACCCACAGGCAAGCGTTTCTCATAACTTAAACTTAATTTCATCTGTCAGCCTGATTCTTTCCTCCACTTGGCAGTACAAACTCCTTTTAGTCTAGGTGATAGAGACGGAACTGTGAAATTTCTGCATGTCAGGTTATTAAAATATTTTTTCAATCCTTGTTTACACTCTGTTCCTTCAACAGCTTCTCAGCTTCCTGGAGCACTTGTCTTGAACTTACGCAACATCTACTTCATAGTTTCTTATTAAACCACTGAAACAAAAGAGCTGACCAATGAAAGTCAGTGTATCTACTTACACAAGTATCATTAACGTAAAAGGGAGGCTAAGTGAATATTTTTAATCATGTGCTCCAAGCAACATGGAAACAGAGAAAGAATGGGGAAAAAAATGGCCTAAAGTTAATTTTTAGAGTGATTAAGCTATTTCTAAATATTTTCAAGTGAATGCAACTAAGAAAATCTGTTTGTGATGATGAACAACCTTGTTAAAACACCCCTGACCGTATCACACATGACAAAAATTTTAATTAATTTTCTATTTTAATGACTGTTTCCAAATGTTCCATTTCCACACCAAAATACCACTCAAAACAGCCTGTCTGCCTTCTGATGCAATTTAGACACAAACAAAACAAGCACAGTCAAACTGCTAGGAGCTCTCTACATGAGTGGGCACAACTGTAGTAGTAAATTTGTACCCAAATCATAGAAGAAAATTGAAGCTGATAGGTAAATCTTGTATCTGATTTAAAGAGTGGTGAAGAGTTGGAGACTCACAATAAAGAGGTCAGTGGAAAATCAAGCTTAAGACACACTGAGTCCCACACGTCTGTGCTGTATTGGCAGAGCAATTCACAGAGTCATTCTGCAGCAGAAAATCAATCCAGCTTACTTATATATATGCAAAACCAAATGCTATGTCATTTTGTGTATGTGTATTACTCATTATAAATCAAATTTGCTATTTTATAAATAATATAGCATTCTGATGATCAGTTGAAGCTGGCACGTCCTATCAGTGCTGCTTAAAGGGGTACCTCCTTTTCCACCATATCTTTCTAAGCTCTGTTCACTTACCAAGCAAGCATTTCTGCAGTCAGGCAATAAAACAGGTTAAGAATCTGGTTAACACTAACCCAGCAACTACAGGAGTGAATTGCTCAGCATTAACCTGGTGGTGTTTTCTCTGGTTCAGGCTCTAGAACAATGCTCTGTGCTGCTCTGTCCTTGCAGTGAAAGGAGTAAAAGCACCAAGGCAGGAGGAAAGGGTAAGCCAGGCTGGAGACAGTCATTGAATACTGTGGAACACGGGGCTCAAAGGTGGTTGGAGGAAGAAAAGGCTTTGTGGAGAGGGTTCCTTCCTTATCTGCCAGTTGCTGTTGGAAATGTTTGGGGGGTTCCTTTTGCATTATCTCAGTGTCCTCACCACTACTCAATGGAACTCCTAGATGGGAGTGAGATTTATCTAGGGTGAGCTTAGCTTTCAGCTAAGGGCTTCCAGCTACACAGCTGAGGGGGAATTATTGCCTCATTTGCTTGTCACTTCACTCCAAAAAGATGTTGCCCCCGCTCCAGCCCATGAGCAAAGCTGCTCAAGAGGTAACTCCTTAGCTCCAGCCGAAATAGCCAGTTTAGTCTTACTGCTTAAACAGTAATGCTCTGTTAATCCAGCTCATCTTGGTTGAAGAACCTTCATCAAAGCTCACGTGATCAGCAAAACTGAAGAGGAAGCTGGTGAAAGGCAGATGTAGGCTGCTTTGGATGGTGAGGACATTTAGGACCCTCAGGATTTGGTTTCCAGGACTAGTAGTCTTTTTACTACTTTTTTTTTACTAATTTACTATACTAGTAAATTAAATGTACCCACACCTATGCCCTAGCAAGTGGTATGGAATAACGCACATCCACACTTCAAAAATAATTCATAAGTTACTATCTTAGATGTAGCGCAGGTAAACAAATATGTCTACGTTCAAGCTTTTTTTAAGAATCTTTTAATCGTATTTAATTATTCAACACTTTTTTTGGTTTGGTTGGATTTTTCTTTTAGGAATTGATTGATTGTTAGGATGTCTTGGGTCTTTTTTTGTCACGTATAAGGAGGAGCAGTAGGAGGTGAGAAATACAGAATCATAGAATCATTACAGTTGAACAAGACTTCCAAGATCATTGAGTCCAACCTTGGACTGAACATCACCATGACAACTAAACTATAGCACTGAGTTCCATGTCCAGTGGCTTCTTGAATACTTCCAGGGATGGTGACTCTACCAGGTTAAGAATCTGGTGAGGAATACAATCAAGGTGGATCTGAAGAAAAAGTCCCCAGCACCATAAAATATTGGCATTTGGTTTTTAGGACAAGGAAATTTGGTTACTATCAAATACACATAATTAACCCTTCCTTTATGACTGGAAAGCTTTGCTATTACTGGTGCTGATAATTCTTGTCAGTGAGTATTTGCACACTCATATATGGGTAGTACATGTATACTTTGCACAAACGGGTTCTAAACATTACCAGTAGTTAATAAAATAATAACATTAAGGACACTATTCAAACGAACAACTAGTCGAATGATGCAGAATTTTTTCTTAGACTTCTAACACTGTTTTCCACCAGGTGTCACTGTAGCATCCCATAAACTACGACTTTCAAAGAAAAAAAATCCAGCTGAAATATCTCCTTTCTTTTTTGTGTTCCTTTGAACGCACAGATTGAAAAAATACTAACAGTCAACCTAGTCTTTGGATTTTTCACCTGAATTTCAGAAATTCTTCAGGAATAGAGTACTTATGGGCTTTAGAAGCCAAACTTTAAATGAAAGGTTTGCAATATGTGTAAATGTTGGAGTATCAAGTGTAATTTTTAAGTGCATTCCTATCGTAACACTGCATCCGGACACGGAGCTGGGGATCCACACTTTATAATATATCATTATTAACCTTGTCCTTTTTGTTACAGATCTGCTTACAGAACGTCATTTCCTTCATCCCAAAAACCAGCACAAGGAGAGGATATGGAAGGGAGAAGATTCTGAATGAGGACAAAACCAGAGAAAACTCCATTACAATTCCCTACCTGAACAGCAGTATACATCAGAACACTTTACAAACTATGGACTCATCTTTCAAACCCTTTTGAGATAAATAGAAGCTAAGTACAGACAAATAATTAGCTGTGATATTAATGAGTAGGGCTGTCATATCTTGAGGAGAAACATGCACATTATTACTGCCAGTAAAACAGGTAACTCTCATCTTCTTTATACATGAAATTTTCATGATCCATGAAGACAAACCTTTTCTGTGTATGAACATGTACATGATTGTGTATATGTGTACATGAATGGTACAATATAAGCAGACTAATGATCTAAGACACAGAGCTTTAGGGCTTTACTGCACTGAAATTAACAATTCAAAGTGGATTGGCAGCCTCCTCTACCACACACCCTAGTGCACAGACACAGGCTGTTGCACTTAAAGCCAGAAATATCAGTTGGGAAACATCTTCTGGGCTGCCAAAGGTTACAGCCCAACACATTAACATCAATTGATGGCAACTTCAGGTTTTTTTAATACTACAGGACAAAAGCTCTCAAATTTCAGGGCAGCTCCTAGCTGACCCAGTCCTGGAGCCATAACATCATCCCTGCCCCTGTGGCAGCAAACTCCATCATAAAGGTAGTCCAAGTAGCTCAAGGTAATACCCACTCCAGCAATTTAATTTTGATCTGCTCACACATGTGAGTCAGGCACCTAAAATCTCTTCAAACTAAATACTTGTCTATGTGCTGCCACTTAAACACATCTGTCCACAGTTTCACAAAACAGCAGCACACAGCAGCAATTGGAAGGAGAACAAAAACAGAAGAGGGGTGGCTGAGGAGGCAAGGAGTGGGACACCCAAAGCCCACAGATGTCCATGTCTAATCTGGGTTGTTTGTGTCCAGTTACATAGCACTAAAAATTCCTTGAAGATGGACCACATTTGTGAGTCCTGTCTTGATAGGGTGGAAAAGCTGGGAGAGGTGAGACAGCAGAGACTATCCATCCCTCAGCCTGCCTATAGAGCAGAGCAAGGAAAAGGAAAATCTCAGCTTTTACTTATCAGTTTCTAACTCCTTTGTCTTGGGGAGGTCATCTTGAAAAAATACGTTGATGTGAAGCACTGATGTGAAGCGCTAGAGGTGATGGATCTTTACTCTTTTCCAAAGATCACAGATTATTCCGTTTTCCCTCCAGCAGTGGGCCTCCATTGTATTCTGAATTTCTCACTAAAGTAAGTGAACAAGGACCCCAAGGGCAAAAACCTTCCCTTCACTGCCCAGGCCTTCCTCCTTCCCGTTTTATTTGTTAGTGCAACAGCTAAGACAGCTGTTTGTCTGCCAATAGCAGCCAGTCAGGCAGAGAGTGCTGTGCACAAACAGAGGGAAGACCATACAAGAGAAACCCTCTGGAGTCTGGCTCAAGATTTATATCTATCTCTGCAGATTAGAGAAGTGGGGTTGAGGGGGAGGGAGAAGCAGACTGTTAAACTGGATCAAATTGGAAAGACAGTCATGCATGAGATACTTAGCTAAACCAGTCAGGAGACAGGGATTTGTTTCTATTGATCTGCAGTAATGATGACTGGAGAAATGTCTCATTAAACGGTGTACAATGATGGATTTCAGACTAGGCAAATTTGAGCGGTGGAGATTAACAATACTAAAAGATGTGAAAGCTAGGCCAGGATAGAAAATACATGGAATGCTAAAGGGTAACATGGATCTATACATATGCTGCTATAAGATTCAAATCTGAAAGGAAAGGAACATATTAGGTCTTACTAAACTATGTTTGTGTAATCATCCTACATGACACCAGGGGAGAAAGAGAACAAGCACAAAGTGACAATAAAGCCTTTCTGTTAAGTAGGTAAAGCTTGTACTGCTTTTTGTATTGCTTTATAGAGGATAGGTTAGCACAGTATTTGCAAAGCTTTTTAGTGATTTGTTCAACTGTATTGCCTATTAGA